AGAGATGAGCCCAGCTGGTGAAGAAACCAGGGTGTCCCCCACTCCTGCTGCAACAAGCTCCCCTCCCTGCTGGTCTCCCAGGACCAGGAGAGGTATGAAGTGAGAGGAGCAACGTCATGCACAATGGTGCAGTCTCAGATTGCTTGGGAGAGGAGGAGACCTAGGCAGCTGTGGGAAGGCGTAGCTTTCACAACTGCCTCATAGGGACAAGACCTACTGAAGAAAAGTTGCTGTGCTCTTCTAATAAAGAGTTAACTTCACTTACTCTGTGTAGTTTATTGCTGACTTGCTCCTGAATGGGGGTGGGGGAGGAAGCCACTGAGAACGGCAGCTTTAAAGCGCTGCAGGTGCTTTGAGGGGTGGGTGGCCTCCCAAACACCTGACCTTTCCTAGCAGTGGACAAAGGAAGCCACTCAGAACCACCACTTCAAAGTGTAACTGATGGAGGAAGTGGGCAGAGCATTGCAAACACTGGAGGAAGTCAGGCTCTTGATCTCCAGTGGTCGCAATGCTCCACCCACCTTCAACTACACTTGAAGCAGCGATTCCAGAAGATGGCACTATCATGGTCCCATTCACACTGCTGCTAAGGCGGCTCGTGGGCTGGATCCCACCTATGGGCCAACAGTTTTCTACTCCTGTATTAGGGCCTTGTTTAGTGCACAGCTTAACCATTTTACACATTGCAGCCCCTGAGACATATGTTGAACCATTGTTTATGGTCAGTTAGAAAAAAATGTAAGTCTGTCTTTATCCCCTCTAAAAAACACCTTGGCTTTTTAATCAACATGCTACTGTAGAATAAAGGAACACAGTTTTGCAATGTGCAATGTGAAATTGCAGTGAGGCAGTGATCCTTGGTGGAAGAGTGGGATGGGACTAGCGAATTTGTTTTCATTTGTGAAATATTGGAAGGGTATGCTGTGATCATTCTTTCATAATCAGCTATGTCAGTTATTAGCTTTGTTAATGGAGGATTCTTGTTTTTGTCTTTTGTAAACAGCTAATCAATAATTTGCAAGGATTTTGTTGAGTGGAGAACCAAAAACGCCCCCTCCCCCACATCTCACCTCTCTGTTCTCGATTCCTTTCCCTCCTTTGTTAATATGCCAGGTTTATTTTTGCTGACATATAAACCTAAGACTGAGACAGCTGCAAGCCTACAGAAAATAGAATGAGGGAAGAGATCAAGCTGAGTAGCAGATAGGATTTTTCTGTCAGTCTCAGTAAGCAATTTATCAGCCCAGGGTAAAATTTAGCTGCTTTTTAAAAGTTTTATAGATTGAGAAGTGAAGCCCACATTGAGTCTTTGTCTGCAACTGCAACGAACAGTGCCTTTCTGTCTTCTTTCTGCAGTTAGGAAATGTTTTGTTTGTTTTTTTCCGCCTCAAGATGAAGTACATCATTCAAAGCTCTTTTATTGACAGCAATTACAGAGGGAGCTGTCCTTCATGCCTTAGTAGAAACTTGCAGAAATGGGATGGATGTTTACATGAAAGACAGACTGGGTCTGAACAACAAAATTGCTGCAAGGATGATGATGATGATGAAGAAATCATTTTGAAATTGCTTAATTTTTTTGTCAGATCATCACATATGAAAAGGGAGCATGATTTTTTCTCCTTGCCAAATGTTATTTAGAGGATCACAGCAAGTTCCCTGCCTCGAGTAAAACAAAAACACCAAGCAAATTATTATTTGAATGAACTCATAGTGAAGAGGCCTAAGGAGAGAGCAGAATAAATATTTCAAGTTTCTCTTGAAGGATACGGCCCAGAAACTGTTAAGCTCTACCTCACATGCCGGGATTATGGGCCCCTTAGATTTCCTCAATGGTATTTCCTTCTCTCTCTAACCCAAGCCACCATCTTTGTTGTTTTGTGCTACGGCTGTGTGACGTGATGGTCCTCTTCCACCAGAGCCTAGAGTCTCAAGGAAGGCTTTGTGGAGTTGGTCCCGATCTTTTAGTGAGAGCTTGACTGTGGTGCAGCAGGAGACTCTATGTAAATGTTGTGTTGGAAGCCGGGTGCTAAATATTGAACAATTCTGTTTGTAGGTACTTCTGTTGGATCAGGGTCCTCTTCTATGCTGGCTGACTACTTTAGCAAATTATTGTTGAGCACACGTGTGTGTGTGTGTGTGTGTGTGTGTGAGAGAGAGAGCGAAAGCAAATGTTTAATTTACTTGTTAGCTTTTTGTTAGTGTTGCTTTCTATGCTTTAATTCTTTGTAATTGTTTTATCGAAGTTATGTTAATTATATAACTTGGGCTGTAACTAGGATGTTTTATTATGTTGCTGTTGCTGTTTATTGTCCACAAGCTGCTTTGGGATTCACTTGAATGGAAAGTACAATCAGTCAATCAATTCTGGAAAAAGAAAAAACAAATCCTGTCAGTGGAATATACTAGAACAACTTTCAGCAGGTTCCTCTATCACTTCAGCCCTGGTTTGGGATGTCACTGAGGCAAATATATTGGTGTGTAGTTCACTCTTTCTAGCCATAGAAAGGTATTATCAATGGAGCAATGTCATGTGGACCAATGAGATGCTTTCAGATCTCCAAAGGGTGGAGCCAGAGAGAAATTTGTTCCAGAATCCTCTACTGACAGCAATTGTTTTCCATCTTGCGTGTTAGATTCCGTCATAGAGAGCAGGAAATACCATTGCTGAATTCTAAGTGGCCTGTATTCCATCCATTATATGAAACAGCAGTTAACTGAATATCTTACTTGCTTTATCACATGAACATATGTTAGAATATATATATAATTTGAGACAGGCAACCCAAGCTCCTTGCAGAGGTCCATGCACTGGAGCATGAGGAATTCAATGATGCCTAAAAACATTTTGCCTTCTCCTTTCAAGCGTAGCAAAAGAGTATTGAGAACCAAAATTTGTTGCTCTGGCTGCAAGTTGTGTGGGGAGTGCAAATTAGCAGGTTAGAAATGAGGCAAGTTCAGACTCCTGCTGTAGTGCCTTTTTCAGATTTCAGAACATACAGAGAGCTCAGCAGGGATCTCTCCCCAACCCAAAGCACCACACATCCACATTACAAATATGCACTTCTAGCCACATTCTTGTGCTTCCCGTCCCAAAGAACACCTTTTAGCATGATTAGATCTGGAATGGAGCCGGTGAGCTTTATCATTCTTCATCTGTACTTGTGTTTAGAGCTGTCTACCCTGCTCTGCTGCATCCTTTTCCCAACAGCAGACCGCTTGTAGGCTACAAAACAGGCCTATATCCTTGGATATACATGTTTACTGGACAGTATGAAGCAAGGGTCCCTGGAAAAGACCCTGATGCTGGAAAGATTGAGGGCACAAGGAGAAGGGGACGACAGAGGACGAGATGGTTGGACAGTGTTCTCGAAGCTACCAACATGAGTTTGACCAAACTGCGGGAGGCAGTGGAAGACAGGAGTGCCTGGCGTGCTCTGGTCCATGGGGTCACAAAGAGTTGGACACGACTAAACACCTCAACAACAACATCATGAAGCTAGGAGGAAAAATTGTGGTTTGGTGGCAGAGTGCATACTTCCCTTGCAAAAGGTCACAGGAGCAAATCTCTGGTGTTCTCCGTATAGGGCTGGGAAAGACAGCTTTCTGAAACCCTGGAAAGCTGCTGCAATTGAACTTCCACAGTACTGAGCTAAGCAGACCAATGGGCTGACTTTAAAGAAGGCATTTTCCTGTGTGGAACAGAGATCTGCAGGATTCCTGTGGGCGAAGGAAATGGCTTTAAGCCTCAATAAGGCAGAACTGAAAATATTGCTTTACAGAGTTTCTTAATAGCTCTGTACAAAGGTTATAAGCTTTTTGGGGGGACGGAGCTGTTTATATTTGATATGAAAATAGCCGAGTGATGCTTTGAAAAACAACCTTATGATGCTTATGATGATGCCTAGGGAATACTTCACAAGGCGATCCACGAGATTATTCCTGTTCATGCTGCTTGGCAGACAAGTGTTGCAAATAAAACAGATGCAGATGTCCCTGGGGAGAATATCTATAAACTGGAGTATACGAACTCAGTCGCTGAGTTCGATGTTGTTGTTTCCTTACAGTTCCAGGGTTAAGCTGCATTCATAAACCCACTTATTACTTGGGAGTAAAGCTGTTCAGAACTGAGTGCACACAGGAAAAGCATCAAGCTGTGTCTCATTTCCAGCAGCAGAGCTAATAAATAAGGGCATCTAGTTAAACCCACCTGGGATTGAACGAGCAGTAATGTTGGTTGGCACCCATCCATCTCTGGAGACGGTGGGGTCATAGCTGTCAACCTTCCCTTTTTTTGCGGGAAATTCCCTTATTCCAGCGCTGTTTCCCGCTGCTTCCCGCTGCTATCCCGGATTGTTAGATATCCCGTGGACTGTCCCCGGGACAGGTGAGGCTGCTGATCCCTTATTTTCGAGGCTGCTGATCCCTTATTTTCAAATCTGAAAGTTGACAGCTATGGGTGGGGTGCATCTTTGGGGGTGAAGTCAAACCGTTGGCGAGTTACAGCTCTTGCTGTGGCTGCAGAGAGCAATACGAGAGGGGCATGTTTTGTTGCATCTGGGGCAGGTGAAGGCGTCCGGTTTTGCAAATGCACCGCGAACAGTAAAATGGCAATTTATGTCAAGTGTCTCAAAAGGCCGGTCTTAAATATAGGTTTGCCACACTGGCGCGTCCTCTCCGTAGCGGGGGGCTTCCCTGCAGCGGGCACTGGACACCAGGCTGGGGTGGGAGCACCAGGCTGACTTTGCTGCCCATCCCTTCTCCAGTTGCTTTTATACCCAAAGACATTGCGCGCTCCCTCCCGCTTTGCTTGCAGTCGTCGCTTTCGTTTTGGTTTCCCTTCCTCTCTCGCGCTCCCCCTGCAGCCCGTGGGGAGGCAAAGCACCCGTCCAAAGTAAGGGCACCGGAAAGTGCCCTCTAAGGACTTCATCGCCTGCTACTGCGCATGTTTATTTTATTAAACCACCCCAACCAACGCGCGGTGCGCCTGCGCCTTAGCGATGGTAGGAGGTGCGTGTCGCTTTGCCGCGCATGCTCAGTGGGTCGGAGCGGGCGAGGGCGAATTTGGCGGTTTAAGGGAGAGCTCAGGTAAATATTTGGGCGCCTGGGTCCGGCTCCAAGGGACCTGCCTGGCTCTTCCTTCTACAGAAGCAGAACAACAGGGCTTACTCACTGGGAGTCCTTACTTCAGACTCGCTTTATTGCGATTCCTGAAACAGAAGTTGGCGACAAACCCCTTCTCCCCCCCCAAAAATATATATATAACGTGGCGGGCAGGTGTGCTGCTTATTACCGCTGTGGTCGATATTTAGTGCCCGTTAGGAGCGACTTTCAAGTGTTAGCTGCTTCTTTGCAGATGGTCTGATCGTTAAAATCGACATCTATGCCACAAATACCTGGCTACAAATTAGTGGGGATGATCTCACATTTATTTTTATTTTTTTACCATGGCCCAGACCACTGTCATTTTGGGCTTCAGGTGGACGACTGGGCTGCAGTATTTACTTCAGTTACTATTATTATTATTACTGCTGCTGCTGAAACAGTATGCTATAACGTGAGAATCAGTTTGTCGCTTCATGTTTCCCTTAACAGACCTGCCCACCTCGCAATCCTGGAAGTTGCAAGACACAGAGACAGAAGTTAAAATGCCTGTTTTCAAACATCCAGAATATCCAGAAGCGACGTTACTTCGCTTGGAAAGCTTGGTGCTTTTTCGGGACTCTCAAGTGTCCACCTTGTTATCAATCTTCGGAGAGGTAGCACTTTCTAATTTTCTTTTTCTAATTGCCCTTTAAGATACTTGGCCTTATTTTTTTTATTCAAAGTCTGCTTTTCAGGCAAGATACTTCTTACTGGACAGGAAAACAGTGTTTTGTTTTTGTTTTTTGCTCCTGACAGGTAGTAAAGCTGAAGTGGATATACCACAGTTGGCCCAGGAAGGCCTGGGTTCAAATTTTACTTTAACTGAAGGTCTCTGTGACCTTTAGCAAGTCTTTACTATTACCTTAGCATGTCCTTTAGGAGTTCTTTGAACTCAGAGATACATACCTGAGTTAACCACATGTGTTTTTTCATAACACAAAGGATTAACTCATGCACGTCTCTCTTAAGTGCAAAGAAATGCAGTTATGGTTGTTTTTAATGTATCAGTTTTGTATTGCTGCTTTTCTTCCCCTGGCTACCAGTAGGAGTTTACAAGAAAATGTAGACTAGTCAGGCCTTTTTTTTCCTTTTTTTTAAAGGTTGCCATACAAAACTCAGTCGTGATTCTGTTAAATTCTAATGTACAAACAAGGCCTTCTTTTGACATTTATTTATCTGAATAGGTAATTAGGGAATAATGCGTACTATTTATGTTGCGCTGTTCCTTAAGTACTCCACATACAGTATCTCTGTATCCCCAGCTGTGTTTGTGGAGACTTTGTGGTATCTCGATGGTTACCAGGAATTCCTTAATTTGAAAAAAAGTTATCAGTGGACCAAGATTTCCTGAAAAGCAGTGGGACCTTGGTTTTCGAACGTAATCTGTTCTGGAAGACTGTTCGAGTTCTGAAACGTTTGAAAACAAAAAACTCAATACAGAAGCCTCAGAATGGAAAAAACAATACTGAAAGCTCAAAACGTGGCATGTACGACTTCCAAAAAGTGTTCAAAAACTGAAGCATTTACTTCCAGGTTTACGACGTTTGAAAATCAAAACGTTTGTCAATGGAGACATTTGAAAACTGAAGTTCCACTGCACTGACCTTTTTCCTGTGCTGTAGGTATAGGGTACTATGCTGTGTTCGTTCTAGGATGCCTTCTCAGTTCAGATTAGAAATGGTAAAGCCCAGTGTGCCTGACCACTACTCCACATCACCTGTGGTGTTAGAACACGTTCCAGGTTTTTTTACAGTGTATGGGACTTCCGTGAAATGCATGCTTTCCTTGGCAAGCAAATTGTTATACAAAGAGCTATCTTCATGTAGTGCTTTCTAACTTACTTGCAGAATGTTAATATCCTTATAAAGCTATGCTAAGTAGGGCAACATTATCCTCGTATTTCAAATGGGGCATACTGCCAAAAAGATAGTGGCCTATGTATGGATTCATGATAGGTGAGATATGAAGTGGGGAATTCTTGGCTCACAGCTCATTCTTTATGCAAAAGGTCTTTTTTAAACACAAACATTCTTTGGCTTATGTTAATAACGGGAAGAGCATCGCTTCAAGCAGAAACTGTGAGGGTAATACTCTGCTATTCCCCTCTCCTGTCTTATATAAGCAGCAACTCCTGCATTGATTAATATGGGCTGTGGCATAGTTGAAGTTGTTACCTTTATCTGTAATTAAATATAATATCCCTACAAGCCGTTAAGGAGAATAATGTGTCATTTGGTTCACGGTATGGAAATTGATGTCGGCAGTCTGCTGCGGCATTTAATTTTGCCTGACAGTCTTCTGAAGCTTGCTGTACTGATGTATTCAGCATGAGTGCTAGACGTGCAGATTGTTTTTAAATGAAAGGTTACATTTTTCAACCATGGAGATGATTTTGATTATCTCAGTAATTTCCAGGGATTCTCCTAGTAATCCCTGAAGAATGAATTTTTCAACCCTGCCTTCAGGAAACATTGCAACACTTGTTGGTCTACCCAGGCATTTAGCTTGAACTTAGTTAACTGAAAGACGTGGATGTAATAGTTATTCAAATGGTGTTCATTCCAGAAACGTTTTTATCGGTTTATACTCTTTCTTTAACCAGTTTATCTTTAAAATTATCACTGTGTACAATATACGTGTGTCTGAACAGTTGTTACAGGAACATGGCTACAGGTAGAATTGTATCTTCAAAATAGATTTCCGCCCTGTTTTTCTTTTGCTTCATTCCCAAGCAGTAGTAATGATTTGTGTGTGCTGTTGCTTTTTCCTTGTTGAGTGTTTATATTGCCCTCAACAATTAAAATAACTTTTGATGTGTTGAAAATTGCCAATATGCAGTTATTTGCTTTAAATAGTTAGTGTTGCAGAGAATGAATGATACCTTACTGAAACAGAACCTTTGACAAGGTGGCAGGAGGTCACATGTTTATGTTGGGTGGTTTTTGTTGTGGGTGAACAGCTGTATTTTTGCTTCATTTTAATCAATTTTGTTCTGTAGGGCTTTGTAAATCGTTTCAAGACCCCTTCTGTGTGAAGTGATACATAATTTGATTGAATTTGAAATTTCATTGTTTAAAAAACTACTCATTGTGGGGCCAGTGTACACAATATCAGATTTAGCAAATCTGTATGTGTGGTGGGACAGTAGCCACTCATCATCCTGTCTCCTCCTTGGGTGTGCACAGCAATGAATGGACGTACATGCATACATCTGTACATGTGATACCCTGGAATTTTGCAGTCAGCTTTTTTTACATGGAAGGATTGGAAGAATTTAGTACAGATGTGCATATACATCACTAAATAAGTTTTTTTGTATGAGAAGTTTGTTCAGACCAGCTGCCCTACCATAGGTAAAGTGTTTATTGATTAAAGATTGGATGAACAATGAAACTATGAATTCCAATGAGGGTTTCAGATTGATTCATTTGGAATCGCCCTTCTTCCTCTTGTTACCATCATAAATCGCTTGTCAGCATGTAAGTTTATGAACCTGTACAATTATCATTTTGCTGTATTTGCAGTACATCATGCAGTACATCTAAGACTTTCTCAGTCTCAGATGGCTCAGTGCAGTAGCTTATGGACTGGAAAAGCAACCCAGAACAATTTCCAGAAAATATTTAAAAATGGTTAAGAAGAAAGAACTTGACTTAATAATCAATGGTTTGGATATGCAACTCTTTCTGTAACTTGAAAAAAAAGTAAGCAAGTTTCTTGCTAAGAAGAGGGAGCGAGAGAGAGAGATTATGCAGTTAAGTGCCAGGACCTCAGAATTGCAAATCATTGGCTTATTTTCTCTTTGAAGGTATTTAACCACATACTGAAAAAGCATTCTCTATTTAGTTCTGGTGTCTCCAATTTTGCAGAGCATGCAAGCACAGTTGGAGTTCTGCAAAATTGTATAGGCTGCCATGGTGGGGGCAGGCCCATTCACAAAACAGCCACTGTGGTGGGCATAGCTGGTCACTAGTGAGGCTAAAAGACAAGTAACTCACCTAGGAACTCCAGATCACAAAGCCATTTCTTAGAAACCATGTTAACAGGAAGATCACCCCAAAACTGTTTCACTCAGCCCAGTCCCTTCACTGCATATATTGAAAAAAACCACCCATCCCTTTCAGTAAGCACAAGCACACAAAACATCTGCACACAGACTCTCTGCTTTATCAATCCCCTCATAGCCCTGGCGCCCTTCCCAGCACCCAAGCAGTTGCCCTCCCAGCACTTGGGTTCAGAAGTTGTCTCCTAACTAGTACGTTTACCTGCTTGTGTGAAGCGAGTGATTGGGCTGCATGCACCATTACGTAGCTTGCGCACAGTATGGCTAATTCAGCCAAGGTTCTTGACTTACTGTTAATGTGTGAACATGGCCTATGACTCAACAAGTTTATTGTATTTGTTTCTTGCCTTTAGCTGCAATTGGCTTTCGAAACAGCTTACAATTACAAACTGTCACAATGATGTTTTTGAAAAGCTATCCGTATGCTCCATATTAAAGCCTTTCTGTCATGGAGCCTTGGGTACTGTTACCAAACAGGCCAGTCTCTTGACTTGTAATGTCTTGGGAGTTTCAGTGCTGGGCTTCATTCTTTTGAACCGAACTTCCTTGTATTTTGATGGATTATAAAATCAAAGGGATAAGCTGTCCTGGTGGATCTTAGTTGCTGCATTTTTAGCAAACCCTTCATTCTTCAACTTTTCATCTAGCCAAAAACTTGATGAGTCAAAGTTCTGTACATCTTTTGATTGAAGAAAGGCCAGTGTGCTTTAAAAGAAAAGAAATAAAACAAACACTAAATATATATATATATAATTTTTGTCCAGCGTCAGCATCTGAGCTTCCCATCCCTTTTTATCTATGGACACACATCCAGTGGGAAGACTTATGTGATGCAGACTCTTCTGAAAACCTTAGAGGTAAGAATAATAATGGATTCAAACTGTATATTGGGAAATGCTTTCAAGTTTTGTTTTAAAAAATCCTCTGAAACCATCAGTTTGTTCATCTTTCCTGTTTCCTCAAGAAAACCATTCTTGACTGTCCCCAGATAACTTGATACATCGGGCCTAGGCTTATGCAGCAATGAATACAAGGAAGCAAAGCTCTGTTTGCCCCTACAAATCAGCTGTAACTTAGTGCTGTTGTATTTCTATATTTGCCCTGCCTCTGGCAGTGTCAGGTACTGGCTATAGTGACAGTACATGTCCAACCCTATCATTAGGCATACCTGAAGGTGGTAATTTATTTTGTCTGTCATGAAAGGGCAGCAGATGGTTAGTTATTTAATTTATTATTGTTGTATTTCTACTGGCAGGAAGTAGGAGAGGCCCTTGTGAGCTTTTCTGCCTTAGGTGCCAAAATAACTTGATTGACTTTGAGTGGCCTTGGGAGGGGAGAGTCAAATGCTACTGTGCCTCAGGCATCAATATGTCTTGTGCTGGCCCTGTTGATGATCCATGTGGGGTTGAGGTGACATGAATGATAAGACAAGGGCTAACTCTTCAGAACAAGAGTGAACTAAGAAAAAAACTTACTGGTTTCAGCTTCATGCTGTGCTTAAACCATATCTTAACAATCCGTATTAAGTACTTGTAATGTTTCGGATGGGTCATATTGTGCGTTTTAACATCTCTCAACTTGCCCTGTGATGCTCTATGGTCCTCATTTGGGGGCCTATCAGATAATGTTGCTGCTGCTTTTGTGCCATGTTCTCCTTAACTTTCTCTAACCTTGTTTACAGCTAGAGGGAGTGGTAGTGAATTTGTGGTTGACATTGTATAATACTGGTTATGAATGGGATCCATTCCGTAGGCCCGGCCGTATCCCAAAAGCTTCGTAACCGGAGGTGCCCTTCTTGCGCATGCGCGGGGTGCAATTGAGCATGCGCAGAGTGCTTTTGCACATGCGCGCACGGCGAAACCCAGAAGTATACACATCCAGGTTTGCTGCATTCGCAACCCGAAAGTTACGTTACCCGAAGGTAACATAACCCGAGGGTCCACTGTAGTTGTTTATTGGATTCACTTTCATGAACTTCCCACTGTGTGTAGAATACATTGAAATGGCAACAAATGTCACAATTATTTCGTCTTCATACATGAAGTCCAATCATTCAATATTTAGTACTGAAATACTTGCATGTTTGTTAGCAAGCAATCCTCATTGAGAAGTAATTATGTCAAGAAATGTGAATGAATCTCTCAGGTTGTTGGTTTTTTCTTTTTTTAAAAAAGCGAAACAAAAAAAAAACCTGCTGGTGGTATTTTCTGCAAATTCTTGTAACAGCATTAATGCGATTTTCTTTCTCCTTAGCTGCCTCATGCGTTTGTGAACTGTGTTGAATGTTTCACTTCAAGACTACTTCTAGAAGAAATTTTGAGACAGTTACAAAGCCTTTCCTCTAAGGAAGAATATCCTCTTCCATTCTGTGATACGTTCAACGATTTCATACGTTTATTTAAGCAGGCAACTATGACACCTGATCTGCAGAAACAAACTTTGTATGTGGTAAGTTTGAAAGGTCACTTGGGTTTAGGGCTGGGTGATATCTGCTTTCCAACATTGTAATACACCGCCAGCAATATGATGGTGTTTTACAATTTCGTAAAGGAGGTGGGGAGGAGGAAGAAGGCAGTTGCTAAGGCGACTGAAGCAGGCCCGTCTCCTTGGCAGGGGCAGGTGGGCTTTCTCTTCCTCCCGTAAGTTCTTTAAACTTCTTGTAGAAATTTTAAGAAAACCCATCTATGCCTGATGTTTTATTGGTTTTCAGGGTTTTTTATAGCTAGCTTGAGATCATCTTCAGTAATTTTAGAATTTAGGAAGATTGTTCTTTAGATAGAGCAGACAAGTTCAACTACTTTTTAAAGTGTTTTCTATACATTGCCACCATCCATTTAGGAAGTTTCTTCACAACTTAAACAAAACCCAACTGCTTTATGAGTTCAGTAGCAGCTTTCAAGACTGTTGAAGCTTCTGTTGGCAATGGAAATTAAATAGATTTCCCATTCTTACCTTAATGTTTTGTGTTAGACCCAGAGGTTGTCTTCCTTTGGCACTGGAAGGGAAAATTTTCATCCAACCAAAACTTTTCCTGCACTGTCTTGCTTGTTAAGGAACATCCCACATATTGCAGGAGTCATGCTCTAGGTCAGCACTGGGCTGAATTCAGGATTGTGGAATCCATTTTGTTTGTTGAGCAACTGGGAGTCAGAAATTCTTGCTGGTCAGCTTCATTGCATCCAGAGATCCAACTTCTGCTCACTCTAGCTCTAAGGTGCCCATTCATGTAGGACACTGTTCTGGCCAGTTTGACCTCTCCATTGCCTAACGTGAACTAAGAATACAACCTAGAACACATCCAAAACTTTACTGCAGCTGTATATTAGAATGGAAGTGGTGGTGCCTTTTAGAAACGTTTGTCCACCATTGTGATCTTCTGATTGAGCAATCTCATATTTACTTCCAAGGAATCATAAGGCTCTCCGTGGCAGCTTTTTAAACTCCCTGATTTAATAATTGATTATGTAAAGGTGAATGAGGATACTAGAACATACCAATGTTTATTTTAGCCAAGTGTGGGAAGGGGAACAAACATTATCAACTCAGACAACCAACTAACTGTTACTGAAGGGTTTGTACTATAACGCTATTAAGTGGGGCAGCTAATGTAAATGGGAAGGTTTGGGTAGGCTAGCATAAAGTTTGTGGTTTGGGGAGGGGAATTAGCTCCTTTGAATAACAGGCTGTTAATTTTATGAATCTTATAGTCTAGGGGCAAGATGAAAATCTGGGGTTTTTGTTGTAAAAGCTTTAAGCGCACTTGAATAAATAATGTAGTGTGTACGTATAACTAGAGCAATGAAAAATTAATTGGGCAACATAATTCTACATAGTCTGTGAAGAGTAGATGGAGGAGAAAGGAAATGTGGATGAAAGATTATTGTACTACTTTGTATGAAAAATAGTTAATGCAGAAACACTCGTTAATGGATACACAGTGGGAATAGATGAATTCCTTTCAAGAGAAAGATCTCATTCTGAACCTCTGAGGAAAACTGAGAAAGTAATATCACACTGAAAATTTTATGTTAATTTTGAGCAACTTGTAACTTCACCGCCACCCTACCCCACATTCCCTCCTGTGGTGTTCTATTCAGCAAGCTACTAGTACACTGTCCATCCTGGAGTCTAATAAAAATCTGTGAATACGTTTTGAAACACGTTCAGATACCTATTAAACATTGGCTATTATAATGGTGGATTAACTCCTGACTTTTGTAATTATACTATGGCTTTACGGTCATGTTTTGTGCCCTTATGGCTGCAAACTTATGTATGCTTATGTGGGTATGAGCCCCCTGATTTCTGTCACACTGATCTCCAGTGAAAATAATATTGGACTTCGTAGCTTAGCGACAGAATACATATTTTGCATAGAGAAGTTCTTAGATTCAATCCTGGGTAGCTCCAGTTAAAAGGACCACAACTGATACAAAAGATCTCTGCCTGATATCCTGGAGAGTCACTTCTGGCCAGAGCAGACAGTATTAGGCTAGGGAGAAAATTGGTCTGACCTGGTATAAGGCAGTTTCCTTTGTTCCTAAGGCTCTGTTCAGGCCTATGGTTGATCTCTGGTTTTGGGAGTGGGCTGCGGGATTGTATACACTCTACCCCTCCTGTTGTGCTTTCCTTCTGATCCTCTTCCGTGGTTTATGTGAATGTCTTCAAAGGAGGTTAAAGTTGACCTGGCTTTGCTCCTATACTGTGAGAATGTGCTTATCAGGGAAGAGGATATGTGCATGATCCTGCAGTCCTGCTTTGATATTTAAACCCAGGTTTTGTAGCTCTAAACTGGTTGTAAGGGAGATGGTTGGCTAATGCACATAAGGGAGGTATTCTTCGTGGCTGCCCTGCTTCTTGCCATTACAGGCTCACCAAAGTCCCAAACCCGAGTGCTTTTCCCAAAAAAATTTGAGACAGGTGTTTGCCCTGGCGTTTGGCTGAAGGCTAAGATGAAAAAGGCTGTGTGCATTAAGTTGAAGACTGGCTCACGTTAAGAGCAATCCTATTGTGACTGGCTGAGAAGAGCTCGCATGTAAAGCTGGTGCCACCTTCTGGAAGCTGCACACATGGCTCCAATGAGTTGCCCAATTGCAGGAGTGCATAGATTGCCGTGGCCATGTTCACACTCTGTACGTTAGGTGGCAAATTTCACGATCAGGACTGCCTGATGGCCGCTCCACACTACTCGTGTGGGACACTTACGAGGTGGCACCTATAAATATGAATTAGCCTGTAGTTAGTTCTGGCCATTTTCCAAAGAACCATGGACCTTCAAGGGAGTTTTTCAACAATAGTTTCTCAAGCCAGAAGCACCATATTCCACATGGTAAATTACTGTTGAAACTGAGGCATGTTTCTACGGCTGTTTGTGATATGGCAGGCAAGTCTGCTGTTTAAATAAACAGCCAAAAAAGTTAGTGAGTGCGCCCAACATCTTTGGCTCACTTAATTTCTTTGAATTCAGAGGTAGTGAATTTGACATTGTGTTTTCTGACTGTCTCTTGGGTGTATGTTATCAAAAATAATGCTGGTAGTAGCGACAAGGTGAGTGGATGGTAGAATGTAAAGTAATTCCTTATTTTCAAGGGAGACTTCCCCTTTACTGCTTCCTGGTGCAAAAATCCCATACTGCTGCTGAAAATAAGCACCAGGTGGGCGTGGCCAATTGTATGGGTTCTTCACACCCAATCATTGCCCAGCAGAGAAGGACCCATGTCATCTTGTTCGGTATTCAGACAGTTGCTATTGGTGGAAGAGATCTTCCTACATTGAAGACTCCCACCCTTCTAGCGTAAGAATTAGTGCCAAGTGGGAAGTCAAGGAAATGCTTACTTAAATGTACAGTATATGCATTTAAACAAAGTACATCAAATGACCTCCTCCATTTTCTTCAGGAAAAATGAGCATTTGTTGTTGTTTAGTCGTTTAGTTGTGTCTGACTCTTCGTGACCCCCTGGACGAGAGCACGCCAGGCACTCCTGTCTTCCACTGCCTCCCGTGGTTTGGTCAAACTCATGCTGGTAGCTTCCAGAACACTATCCAACCATCCGTCCTCTGTCGTCCCCTTCTCCTTGTGCCCTCCATCTTTCCCAACATCAGGGTCTTTTCCAGGGAGTCTTCTCTTCTCATGAGGTGGCCAAAGTATTGGAGCCTCAGCTTCAGGATCTGTCCTTCCAGTGAGCCCTCAGGGCTGATTTCCTTCAGAATGGATAGGTTTGATCTTCTTGCAGTCCATATGACTCTCAAGAGTCTCCTCCAGCACCATAAAATGAGCATAAAATTTATGCTCATAAAATGAGCATATTTAAGTGCTAAAAATGTGGTGTGAGATTCTGAAAGATTACTGCTGTCAGATGAGCATGTTACAGCGGGGCAACCCTTGACTTAACTGGTTTTAGAACCAATTTTTGGGAATTAATAATGTTGCTTATCGTAATATTTGAAATTACTTGAAAATAGATAATAAAATACTAGGGCAGGACATTAAATATTGCAGAATGATCAATTTTATTGGGTAAGATGTTGGTAAATCAGAACAATTAAGTGTTAAATTAGAGCATTTCATTCTGCTGTGCATGAAAATAGACAAGAGTGGGGGAGAAATCAATTTATGTGAATTAACCTGTGTCTTTGGATTTATTATGGGGCGGTTTAAATGGAGATTGATGGAAGAACTTGCGTTCTGGTAGCACAAGCTGGCAAAACTAATCTATGCTATTTCGTTTCATTCGTAAATAGCCTAAGATATTTCAGCCTCAATTAATTCAGTGAAAATTAAGATAAATGGATGGTCTCTTCAGTGGCTTCTAAATGCTTCTCTTAATCCAAGAACAGGTACTGAACAATCATGATTAATCATGAGGCTCAAAATGATTCATTTTCCCCGGTGAAGGATGGTGCCAATAAAACTTTGTGTTTATACCTGCGTTGAGAACAATGTGTCCTTCGTGTTTCTTCTCTCCTGTGTTTGGAATTGCAATTCATCAGTCTAGTTATCTTTAACACATAAGAGCTGGTGTAGCATATCAGTTAATGTGACCTTTTCCCTGTTGAATCCACCAGGTGGGCTTAGCCAAGCCATAACACACACACACACACCGCCCCCAATCTCAGTATGGCAGTCATAGAAAGAGCAGGAATATAGGAAGCTGCTCTCTATTGTCTATACTAGAGACAAAGCTGCTCTCCAAGGTTTCAACCAGAGAACATTCCCAGTCCTACCTGGAGCTGCCAGGGATTGAACCTGGGACGTTTTGCATGCTATTCCTTGACAGCGTTGTTAAAAGGATTACTTAGATGGCGTACGTAAAGTTCTGTATAAAGTGTTTGCCAATATCTTTAAGGCCCACCTAGAGTTTTTATTGTAATCATTTGGTATATGCATTTTGTTGCAGAGAAATAAATGAATGCATAATTTGTTTAGGTGGCCCATCGAGTACAAACATCCCTTAATAGCCCTCCAAATAATTTTCTGCCACTACCTATTAATGTATAGAGAGCCTTTTGTAAACTTGTCTCTGTGATTAAAATGCACTGTGTGGAGTGAAATCTCCTAATGTAGTCTTCCTCAGGTCACCCTCCTTAATTGTAGAACTCTGTAAATATATTTATTTGTGGAAAATAATATCTAGTACTATTGGTAATTTGATAGGAACACATAGTTTTAGCATAACAATTCTCTTTAACAGTTTAATTCTCCCTGATTATTCTTAGTCTGTTTAGCTTTCAGCTCCTCTAACTCTGTCCTACTCCCTAACTATCCTTTTCAGCTGACCTCTGTCACTCTTAATTCTACCCCACCACATTCAGTCCCACTCTCCTGCTGTCTATTCATCCACCATTGCGTTTTCCTCTTTGGATTAGGATCCCATGTTCATATATAAAGTGATAACCAACATTAATCCTACTCAGAGTAGCCTCACTAGAAATCAGTGGACTTAAGTAATTCAAACGTTTTAAATTGCTTATGAGTTACTTTTGTGTAATAAAATGTCTCTTTGGTTTTAAAGGTTTTGGATAAAGCAGAGCAGCTGAGGGAACTAGAAACAAACCTCTTGCCAGGTTTCCTTAGACTACAAGAACTGGTAAGTAAATTGACCAAGGAATCCTTATTGAGCGACTTCACTTTAGCGGTTCTTATAAAACAAATTTCCAGTATGTACTATGTAGGTTCAGTGAGCCAATTTCTGCAGTGAAATACGGTGAATCCACTATTCAGTGCAACTCTGGGGCATTAAGAAAGAAAGAAGTACCATCCCTCTTCCAGTTACAGGACACTGCTTTCTTGCTCACCTGGAGGCATCCTTACCCACCACAGCTTGAAGAAACTAACTTTTTCTTTTGGAATGGGTTTCTTCATTCCCCAGCTGCATTCTATAAAACAGCTGGCTCCCACTTGTGCTATGGGAGGAGCAATACTGGAGCCTTCTGTTCATTCACGGTAAACCAATAACCATTGTGATGTGTACAGTGGTCCAGTGTTGGAGACAAGGGAATCATCATTGTCCCCTTTCTACCTTGGAATTATGTTGTGTAAAGTAGATGTTTCATGTTGCTTGTTACAGCTTACCTTGCTTTTGTTTTCTGGGACAGGGAGGTTAACGATATGCTCCTAGAGCATTTGAAATGCTAGTTCAGGGTTGCTCTTCCTGCCAGTTTCCCGTGCATGCAGGAACCTGATAAACGGTACTGATCATTTTTTGTAGATGTGCATTAATCTTGGTAGCACACTGGAATGGAGAATGCGCGTGTTGCTTGCTTTGGCACTTTCATGTGTTTCTTTTGCAATAATCTGATGAACTGTAACAAATGTGACTGTAACAAATGTGAGACTTCGACTGCAGGGAAGAAATGTGTTTTGCTTTGGATTGATGCTGGCTTTTGCAGCAATTCAAGTGGATTAGAGAAGCATAGTGCATGATTCTTATATCTTGCCAGTAGGTAGGAGCCAAGGAGTATTGTGAAAAACAAACAAGACTCCTTAACTCTCCTACCAGGAGAATAATTAGAGATCAACTTGTTGGAAAATTCCTTTTTTTTTTTTAAAGAATATTTATTCCAATTTTAAAGTTACAAATAAAAAAAAAATATAGAAAAAAAAACAAACCACATACATCTTACAAAAAACAGACAGTAAAAAAGAAATAAAAAAGACAAAAAATCACAGTAGAAAATGACAAAAATCAAATTAGACCATTACAACCATCTTCCCATTTACTTGTTTCCATGACTTCCTCTCACCTCCCTCCTTTGTATTCTAGTTTAAATCGTATCTCCAGCAAATCCTTCTAACCTTCTTTTCTTTTACTTATTTTAACATTCGAAAGTATTTAATTCTGCTCTATCCTCATTTTACACTTCATATTTACTTATTCCATTATACCCTGTCTGCCAATACGGTCTAATATTCTTCTCCAACCTTTTCTAACATTCTTTTATATTACAGTGTTTCTGAAGATATGTTTTAAATTTTTTCCAGTCTTCTTCCATCAACCCTTCTTCCTGATCTCGAATTCTGCCGGTCATCTCAGCCAGTTCCATATAGTCCATCACTTTCCTCTGCCATTCTTCTTGGGTAGGCAATTCTTGTGTCTTCCAGTATTTCCCAATAAGTATTCTTGCCGCTGCTGTCGCATACATAAAAAAATTCCTGTCTTCCCTTCGCACCAATTGGCCGACCATGCCCAAGAGGAAAGCCTCTGGTTTCTTCACAAAAGTGTATTTCAATACCTTTTTTAATTCATTATATATCATTTCCCAGAAGGCCTTGATCTTTGGGCACGTCCACCAAAGGTGAAAAAAGGTTCCTTCATTTTCTTTGCATTTCCAACATTTATTATCGGGCAAATGATAGATTTTGGCTAGCTTGACTGGGGTTAAGTACCACCTATAGATCATTTTCATTATATTTTCTCTTAATACATTGCAAGCCGTAAACTTCATACCTGTGGTCCATAACCGTTCCCAGTCAGCAAACATAATATTGTGCCCAACATCTTGTGCCCATTTAATCATAGCAGACTTAACCATTTCATCCTGTGTATTCCATTTCAACAGCAGATTATACATTCTTGACAGATTTTTAGTTTTAGGTTCTAACAATTCCATTTCCAGTTTAGATTTTTCCTCCTGAAACCAATCTTTTATCTAGGTTAAAAACCTCCCTTATTTGATAGTAGTGAAGCCAATCTCGAACTTTAGTTTTTAATTTATCAAAACTCTGCAATTTTAATTTATCTCCAACTTGTTCTAAAATTTCACAATATTTTGGCCAGTTTGTCTCCATATTAGTTTTTTTCAATGCCTTTGCCTCCATTGGTGACAGCCACCTTGGTGTTTTACTTTCCAACAAATCCTTATATCTCACCCAAACATTAAACAATGCTTTCCTGACAATATGATTCTTAAAGGCCTTATGCGCTTTAACTTTGTCATACCATAAATATACATGCCATCCAAACACATTATCAAAACCTTCTAAATCTAAAATGTCCACATTTTCAAGAAGTAGCCAATCTTTCAGCCAACAAAAAGCGGCTGATTCATAGTAAAGTTTAAGGTCTGGCAGGGCAAATCCCCCTCTTTCCTTCGCATCTGTTAATATCTTAAATTTTATTCTAGGCTTTTTGCCCTGCCAGATAAATTTGGAAGTATCTCTTTGCCACCTCTTGAAACAGTCCATTTTGTCCACAATTTGCAATGTTTGAAACAAAAACAACATTCTAGGCAATACATTCATCTTTATCGCGGCAATTCGGCCCAACAATGATAACTTCAATTTTGACCATATTTCTAAATCCTTCTTCACTTCTGACCAACATTTTGTTGATTTAAAGCAGAGTCTTGTGCCCAGCGGAAGGATGAGGAGTACGTGCTACATACTCTATATTGCTTTATTTACAGTTCAAAGCTGGTATATTACAGAAAGACATCTTGCCTCTGCCGGAGCAGAGAAATGCATCCTCTCTCCTCGACAGCTTGGAGAGAATCACTCAGTGAAAAACAGGAAACCAGTGTACGTCACATCCAGCCTCCTTTCCCGTGAGAAACTCCAACAGTACAGACTGTGGAATGTAAACACCTGTCTCGTGACAAGCAGAGCTGCACAGTGAAGGAAAGCAGAAACCAACATCCTCCCCTTTCTGTGAACATCACTGGGCAGCGTGTTTGTACAATATCAGTACAAACCCAACTTCTGCACATAGGTACAGTGTTGATCCCTCGATACAATCTTGGACAATACATCAGCAGGAATTTCATTACCTGGCATATAGGACACCGTTACGAGTCCCTTCTGAATACATTCCCTAGCATGCTGCAACTTTAATTGCAAGTGCTTTGTGCTTTGCTTACAACCTTCAGACTTCAGCAAAGCCAAACACGCTTTGTTGTCCTGGTAAACCTGGATTGGACATTTGACAGGAATTTTCATATCTTTGCACAATTGTACTAACCATTCACAATCCTTAAGTGAATAAGACAGTGCATTCAGTTCGGCTTCACAAGTACTTAAGCTAACTGTTGTTTGCTTCTTGCATGACCAATCAAACAGACTCTGATTGTACATGTAGCAAACTCCAGATGTACTTTTCCTGTCTGTAGCGTCACTTCCAAAACTTGCATCTGCAAATATCTCAAGACCACCAGACTTCTGATTGTTAAATCTCAGTCTGTAATGCATAGTGCCTTTCAAATACCGCGCTATGCGTTTCAGAGCTTCCAATCCTTGACACTAGGATTGTAGACTTGTCTGCTTAGCAAATTACAGCTAACAGCAATGTCTGGTCTTGAACATCTGGCAATGAAGTTTAGCTTGCCTAGCACACTCCTGTACAGTGTAGTGTCAGAAAATGCTTCTTCAGTGTCATCTACCTGATAACCTGTTGTCATCGGTGTGTCTACAGGGTTAGCATCCATCAGATATAGTTTGCTTAACACATCAGCAATTTTCCGTGACTGGTGTACTAGAATGTTACCATCTTGATCTCTCTCTATTTCCAGAGATAGGTAGTTGTTTACCTCACCAAGATCTTTCATGTCAAAGTGCTCTTTCAGTTGAGCTAGGGCGTTATTGTACATTGCGACATCTTTCCAAAAGAATAATAAATCATCAACATAAAACAAACAGTACAGTTTCTTTTGCCCCTCCTCTTTGACAAATACACATGGATCAGCTTTCCCTTGCTGAAAACCTAGAGAAAACAATACTTCAGTGAGTTTTGTGTGCCAACACCGTGCACTTTGTTTGAGACCATAAAGGGATTTCTTCAGAGCACAAACAAATCCCTGTTTTACCTGTACGCCATCAGGTGGAAGCATATAAAGTGATTCATCTAGAGATCCGTACAGAAAAGCTGTATTAATATCATGGTGACTAATGTGTAGATTTTCCTCTGCAGCTAGCTTGAGCATAAGCCTAATGCTTTCATATCTCACTGTGGGTGAATAGGTCTCGTGATAGTCTTCACCTGGTACCTGTGCAAAACCTCTGGCTACCAATCTGGCTTTGTGTCTGACTATCTTGCCATTTTGATCTGTCTTCGCTTTGAAGACCCATTTGCTTCCAAGCAGTTTCATTCCTGGAACTACTGGAACTAGCTCCCATGTTTTGTTCCTTTCTAAGGAATCAAGCTCAGCCTTCATGGCATTTAACCATGGCTCAGCTTCCTTTGAATCCAAACCCTGGATTTCTTGGAAACTTGAAGGTTCAAATACCTTCTTGGAGCTTTTAACAGCTGTTACTGCTATCTTAGCAAACTCATCAGCAAATCTCTTTGGAGGTTTGCCTTTTGTGGCTCTCTGTGACCTACGAATTAGCCTTAAGTCTTCAACACTCTCCTCTTCCTTCTTAGGAGAAAAACGACCTATTGTGAACAATGGTTCCTCCAATTCTTGATCAGAGCTTTCAGAGGGTCGCATAGAGGCTTTCGCACTCTTGAAATCCTCTGAATCACCCGATTCAGTTTCAGATTCAGACTCAGAACCTTCATCAGTGGGTGTGGGTTGTTGTGGTTGCTTTTGACTATCCTCAGTCTCATCACCGTCATCAGGATAACATTGGAAAATTCCCACATTCTCCCCCACTTTGCATTGTACTCAACACTTCTCGTGAGCTTAATTGTCTTAGAGTCAGTCATCATTATTCTGTAAGACCCTTTCTGATAACCTAGAAAGATACCATGCAATCCACGCTTGTCTAACTTGGAGTTTTGTGGTGAGCGAACCCACATGTCAGAACCAAAAATCTTCATGTGTTTGATGTATGGCTTCTTGCCAAACATCTTCTCATAGGGGGTACAACCAATCGCTGAAGATAACCTGCGATTGTAACTGTAAACAAAACACGAGAGAGATTCGGCCCAATAACTCTCTGGAAGATTGGCATCATGCAGCAAGGTTTTTAACCCTTGAAGCAATGTCTGATTTGCCCGTTCCGCAAGTCCATTCTGCCATGGCGAGCGAGGACTAGACAAATCGTGTTGAATTCCTTTCTCAGTCAGAAAAGCTTCAAACTGCTGAGAAGTGAATTCCCCCGCGATCACTGAAAAGAGTCTTTATCTTCTTACCATGCACATTTTCCAACCAAGCACAGAATTCCTTGAACCTAGGAAAAGCCTCCGATTTCTGCTTGAGATTGTACACAAAAATATATCTAGAAAATGCATCAATGAGAACCATGAAGTATCTATTTCCACCCAAAGAGGGCGCTAGTGGTCCAACCAAATCAGCATGAACAACCTGGTATGGTTCTGTAGCTTGCCTACTAGACACCTTACCTTTCGCAGCCATTTTCACCTTGTTTGCTGCGCATGCTTTGCACTTCATGTGGTACCTGCAGGGTTTAATAGTCATACCTTCAACCAAGGCAGGCATTTTAGATACTGCCTCAAAATGCAAATGACCAAATTTTCGATGAAAATCGTGAATACATTCTGCATGCAAACTTTTGTTAGAACCTGCAATGCAACAAGTGTCATCCTGCACCACATCATCATAATACAAAACAAACAAACGATCAACATATTCTGCATGCAATACATAATCATTTTTCTTTGTGATGATGCACTTCTTGTTCTTGAAGGAAACGTCAATGTTCCGCTCATTCAGCTGTCCAACGCTGAGCAGATTATGTTTGGCGTCTGGCACGTAAAGCACATTCTGTATCGATAAGTCCAAACTGTGAAGAACAACAGTTCCGTAGCCTTTACTGGGAATAGTGTGGTCATCCGCCTGGTGAATCGCACCTTCCTGCGGTGTAAAAGACACAAACAGTTTCTTATCGTTGCACATGTGGTGGGTGGCCGCTGAATCAACAACGAAGAAAGATCTAGACGTCTTCTGGACCTCTGCAACCTTTGGAGTGAAGCGTGAAACCATAGCCTTGTGCTGCGTTGTCCTAGACACCGGACCTTTGCCTTTGCCTCGGCCTTTTCCGCGCGATGAGCTTTCGCTGCGCTGCTCTGTCTTGGCCCTGGGATGTCTGCATTCCCTCTTCATATGGCCTAGACGTCCACACGAGTAGCATTTCACTGCCTTCAAAGCTTTGGCGCCATCTGGTGGTTCCACTGCACTATGGGATGACGTCTGTGAAGACTCCCTCTTGCCCATGCAGCTAGCACCCCGGCGATCTGCTTCATTTAAAATCACGGCAGTAACAAAGTCCACTGTCAGCTGAGCAGTTGGTTGCACAGCAATCTGGGTTGCAACAGACTCCCAACCTGAACCCAAAGATTGTAGTATCATGAAAGAATACACAGCCTCTGGAAAGTTGAGTCCTCTCTGTTGCAGCTCATGTCTCAGATTTTGCATCTCCATCAGATGTAAACGCACATCTCCACCTTCAGCAAGAGCCATATTGTGCAGCTTGTTAAAGTAAAACATAGTGGATCCAGCTTCTGTCCTTAAGTGAGCCTCTCTCAAAGCGTCCCAAATTTCTCTGGCTGAGGTCTTATCACGCAATAGACAGAGCTCTTCTGGGGATACTATCAATGTAAGAGTTCCCTTGCTATGGAATCCTTAGCTTTCCATGCATCTGTAACTGGACCTGGGGGGGTTCCTGTACTCACCTCAAACAAACCCTCTTTCCGCAGAATTGCCTCTGCATACTGAACCCAGTCGCTGTAATTTTTCTTGTTGAGCTTAGGAATCCCACAAGCATCCTGAAGGGCCATCATGACTCTGGCATTAGCCTTCAGCGTCATATGCTGCTTTAAATCTTGCTGCGTCACTGCTGCAGCTGCTTTATTACAAAGCGCACTTAAAAGTTACTTTCGATTTCCCCAGCATAGTGACTTGTGCCTGGGAGCCTTTTGCCTATTCCCGGCAAAACCGGCTTTAAAAGTTCAAAGTCCAGCCATAAAGCCATTAACTTGAAGCTGGCAGGCTGCCCGGAGCAGTAGCACATACCTCATCAATCACCTCTACGCGCAGAGCAGATTCCGTTCCGATCTGTCCCTCTGCATTCCGATCCTTTGCCGGCACTCCGATTCGACTTCTGGAGCCCATAACCACGTGTTGATTTAAAGCAGAGTCTTGTGCCCAGCGGAAGGATGAGGAGTACGTGCTACATACTCTATATTGCTTTATTTACAGTTCAAAGCTGGTATATTACAGAAAGACATCTTGCCTCTGCCGGAGCAGAGAAATGCATCCTCTCTCCTCGACAGCTTGGAGAGAATCACTCAGTGAAAAACAGGAAACCAGTGTACGTCACATCCAGCCTCCCTTTCCCGTGAGAAACTCCAACAGTACAGACTGTGGAATGTAAACACCTGTCTCGTGACAAGCAGAGCTGCACAGTGAAGGAAAGCAGAAACCAACACATTTTTCATTACAGTGGTACCCCGCAAGACGAACGCCTCGCAAGACGGAAAACCCGCTAGACGAAAGGGTTTTCCGTTTTGGAGGCGCTTCGCAAAACGAATTTCCCTATGGGCTTGCTTCGCAAGACGACAGCCCATAGGGAAATCTCAGGGACAGCGGGAAGCGCAGCGCGTCTTCCCCACTGTCCTCGGACCTCCTCCGAAGCCTGGCGGCGGGGCGGGGACACCTCCTCCCGCCGCCGCCGGGCTCGGAAGGCTCCTCCGGCCGGGCGGGGGAGGGAACACCTGCCGCCGCCGCCCGGCTCGGAACGGTGCCCGGCCGGGCGGGGGGAGGGAACACCTGCCGCCGCCGCCCGGCTCGGAACGGTGCTCCGGCCGGGCGGGGGGAGGGAAGACCTCCCGCCTCTGCCCGGCTCGGAACGGTGCTCCGGCCGGGCGGTGGGGAGGGAAGACCTTCTGAAGGCGGGCGGGGGCGAAAGTCTTTGCTCCCCTGCCTGCCTGTCCCGGAGGGCTTTTGAAGGCGGGGAGCAAGACTTCGCCCCGCCCGCCTTCAGAAGAGGTCCAGGACCTCTTCTGAAGGCTGGCGGGGGCAAAGTCTTTGTCCCCCTGCCTGCCTTCCCAGGGGCTTTGAATTGCCCCGGACAGCGGAGAAGTCCTCCGCTGTCCCGGGTGATTTTAAATGCCGCCCGCCAGCATTTTAAGATCGCCCGGACAGCGGAGAAGTCCTCCGCTGTCCCGGGTTTTAAAATGCTGGGGGTGGGAAGAAAAGCCCTTGCTCCCCCAGCCTTCAGAAGAGGTCCGGGGACAGACTGTCCCCGGACCTGGTCTGAAGGCGGCTTCCTAGGAACGCATTAATTGATTTTCAATGCATTCCTATGGGAAACCGTGCATCGCAAGACGAAAAACTCGCAAGACGAAGAGACTTGCGGAACGAATTAATTTCGTCTTGCGAGGCACCACTGTATTGTCTTTAAACAGATTCACATTTTTTGCAGTCATATTCACCCCTAGATATTTCACTTTATTAACTATTGTTAATCCTGTCTCTTTCTGAAACCTCTCCTTCTCAATCTCTGTAAGGTTTTTCTCTAATACCTTAGTTTTCGTCTTGTTTAATTTAAAACCTGCTACTTGACCAAATTCTTGGATTAATTGTAATACTCTTTTTGTGCTAGCTTCTGGCTCCTGTAATGTCAAAACTAAATCATCAGCGAAAGCTTTCAATTTGTACTGTTTAGCTCCGAGTTGTATACCTTTGACCAATTGGTCTTTTCTAATCATATTGAGCAAAACCTCCAGGACCGATATAAAAAGCAATGGGGAGATTGGGCAACCCTGTCTTGTTCCTTTCTCTATCTTAAATTCTTCTGTAACTACATTGTTCACAATAAGCTTAGCTTTTTGTTCCGAATAAATTGCACCTATACCATTTTCAAAACTTTGGCCTACCCCCATCCCCTGCAAATTTTTCTTCATAAAACTCCAAGAAATATTGTCAAACGCTTTCTCTGCATCTACAAATATTAAGACAGCTTTAGTATTGATATTAACTTGCAATTTTTCCAAAATATTAATAATATTCCTAGTATTATCTGACAAATGTCTCCCAGGGAGAAAGCCCATCTGGTCTTTATGAATCTCTTTTACCAATACATTTTTTAATCTTTTGGCCATAATTTCCGCAAAAATTTTGTAATCCACATTAAGTAGGGATATGGGACGGTAGTTCTTCAACTGTGTCTTCTCCACTTCGGTTTTTGGTATAAGTGTAATGTATGCTTCTTTCCACGACTCGGGTGCTTTTCCTCCCCGTAGTATTTCATTGCAAAGTTCTTTCAGCGGTTGCAATAACCATTCTTTCAAAATTTTGTAGTACTTTGCAGTTAGTCCATCCGGTCCTGGAGATTTGCCCAATTTCATATTCTGAATGGCTCCTTCCACCTCTTGATCAGATATTGTAGAATTTAATATTGATTTACTCTCTTGAGATACTTTTTGTAATCCATTATTTTTCAAAAATCGATCAATGTCTAATTCTTTCTGAGTCTCCTGCGTATATAACTGTTTAAAATAGTTCTGAAAGCACTTCCGAATCTCTCCAGGATTCTGTATGTTCTTCCCTTCTACTACCAAGTTCGTAATCGTATTCAGCTTTTGTCTTTTTTTCATTTGCCAGGCCAATAGTTTCCCACATTTATTTGCCGATTCGAAAGTCTTTTGTTTCATCTGTTTGACCTTCCATTCTATCTCCTGGTTCATCAATTTCATATATTGTACTTGGTATAGTTTTATCTCTTTTAGAATCTCCTGTGAGTTCGGTTTCGCCCTCAGTCTTTTTTCTCCATCCTTAATTTTCTCCAAGATTTTTTCTCTCTTCTCATTTTGATGTCTTTTCCTAATTGCGTTTTGTTGTATCAAAAATCCTCTCATCACCGCTTTGCTGGCATCCCAAATCACTCTTTTTTCTGTCGTGGTATTCAAATTTATCTCAAAATAATCTCTCAAATTCTTCTGAGCCTTTTTAATAATTTCCTCATTCCTAAATAAGGTGTCATTCATCCTCCATCTAAAAGCTCCAATTGGCGTTGGTATCATTTCAATCTTTACTGGGTTATGATCAGAGCAAATTTTCGGGCAAATCACCGCTTTTTAATCTTAGGGGCCAGTCCTCTAGTTATCCAGATTTGGTCTATTCTTGTCCATGTCATATTTGCTTCAGAGAAGAAGGTTCCCTCTCTTTCCAAGGGGTTCTTTATTCGCCAAATATCCACAAGATCCATATTGTCAGTCATTTCAAAAATGTCCTTGGTAGTCTTCCATCTTTTGTCACTGTTTGTCTTTGGGCTTTATCCATATTTGTAGACACTACTCCATTCATATCTCCCATCAAAATAATGTTGTAATCCAAATAATCCAGGAGAGTTTCATGCAATTTCTTAAAGAATTCTGATTTTCCCTCATTTGGTGCATATACACCTATTATCAAAAATTTCTGTCCTTGGAACTGAATTTCAATTGCTATATATCTTCCTTGGTCATCTTTAAATATAAATTTTGGTGACAGGCTTTCCTTCGCATAAAGTACTACCCCTCTTTTTTTTTACATTGTCCGATGAAATGAATTCTTGTCCCAGTCTTTTATTTATCAAAATTTTTCGATGTAGCCTTGTCACATGAGTTTCTTGTAAGCAAATCAAGTCCAAATGTTCTTTTTTCAATGTGTGAAATACTCTCCCCCTTTTTGCCGACGAATTTAGACCGTTAATATTCCAACTTAAAATTTGTAGTGTCATTTTGTAGTTACTCTCCTTCTCCTCCAACAGCCCCAAGAAGATTGTCAATATCTGTCGGTGGCGTTGATTTCACTTTTTTTTGCAGACTCTTATCCGATATCGCAGTGTCTTTTCCCAGTCCTTTCTGTAGATCTTCGTATGCGCTCAAAAACTTGTTCTTTTCCTCCACTGATCTAATCTTGGTCTTTCTTCCTTTAAAACTAAAGGATAGACCTTGGGGGAATTCCCACCTGAAAAGGATTTTATTTTTTCTCAACAAGTCCACCAAATCTCCAAAATCCTTTCTTAAATCAAGAAGATGTTTTGGTATATCTTTAAAGATTTCCACTTTTGATTGTATGATTGTCAAGGGTTTTTCGTAATGCAGGCCCAAAATTTTGTCCCTTTCTTCTTTGGATCGGAGGGTGATCAGACAATCCCTTATTTTAATCTTTCTTCCTCCTTTCCCCAGTCGAAAGGCCCTCACAATCCTAAAGTCCTCTTGTTTCAATTCCGATTTCCAAAAATCCAGAAATTCTTGTGTCAAAAAGTCTATCAGGGTGCCTTTCTCCAACTCAGGAACAGCTCTAATTCTAAGATTCGTTTGTTTGTCTTTAAGGTCAATCATAGACAACGTTAACTTATGTTCTGCAATCTCTTTCTGCAGGTCTGGTACCTTTTCAGTTTCCAATTGCCCCAATTTAAATTCTACAGCAGCAGTCTTTTCCTGTATAGACTTTGAGTCTTGCAGTAATCTCTGAATAGATTCCGTGTTACTGTTTACTTTTTCTCCAAATTGTCTAGTGTTTCTGTATTTAAGTCAATTTTCCTATTTGCAATGTCCACTTTCTGGTTCGTTTCTTCCACTTTCCTATTCGTCTCCCCACCCTTGTACTTAATTGTTGTATCGATTCATTAATCTTAGCCAGAGCACTGGCTAAAATTTCCTCAGACATTCCACCAGACTTAGATTGTATTGCCGATGCAGGCAAACCAGCAGATGATTGCCTTCTGTGTACCCAGGGTTTCCCTGATCTCAAGACTGACTGGTCTTTTTGACCATCAGCCATAACAAAGTGAAGGTCAAATTCCTTTCCCACGTCTGGTGTTCCTGTTTACAAGTGGAAAATTCCTTTCCTGTAGTTGCAGGGAGTCCCACTAGGTGGACACTGTTACCACCTAGCCAGTTACTGTCCTTTTAAAATAGCAGGAGAGAGAAACTAAGTAAAAAGACAAAAATAGAGAACACAATGTAGCTTTCCAATTCTTTCCAATCTTTTCCCAACGAAATTGGCCACAATGTATCTTCTTTGCAGCCAGCAAGCAGCTCTGACAGCTTTGACAGCTGAGACGTCCCACTGACAGATCGCTCTTTAAATCCTTAAATTTAAGCAGTCCGGTAGAGTCAAGAGCCTTTCCCTTATCCCTCCAAAGGGTAGATTCCACCAAAGTTCTCAGGTCAGAAAGAAAACACTTATTTCAGTTCAATTTTCCCACGTTTAGCTCCAAATCTCTGTGCTTTATTCCACATACAGTGCAGGGAAGCGGACTTCCTGTTTGCGCTTCCACCGCGGTAGCCAATTCAGACGTTTTTTACAGCTTAAAACTTTTCCGCTTTTACGCAAATAGTCCAATTAATCCAATTAGTGCTCTTTTTAATCCAATTCCTCTACTCACGGTTAAAATTTAAGTCCAAATGTCCCAGGAATAAGTCAGCGCTCTCCAGCAACGGCAACACGGCTTCGCTCAGTGAAAGCAGCGATCCGCTCGCAGCACCGCGCTTCTCCCCCGCTCCCTTCTGAAGCCTCAAAAAAGGCTTCCTTTCGGGTTGGGGGGGCGCTCCAAGGTGCCCGCCGAGCCTCCACGTTCGCAGGCGTCCGCGCCTGCGATTTCTAAGGGTCCCCGCTTCGCCGGAGCGCACAGGACCCGATCTCCCGCTGAGCTACCCCCTCCGAAAATCAAAGGAGGTCAGCCATTGCTGCTGGCGCTAACCGGAAGTCCCTAACTTGTTGGAAAATTCCTGGTGCTTCTCTTGGGAAGGATGGCTACACAGCTATCATTTTTTGTGTGATGGTGAACAATAGTGATGTGCAAAAGAAGCTTGGAAAGCTAATTGATCTTGATTCAGAAACTGATATATGTAGCAAGATCATATTGTGTGCTATGGAAGGTGAGATTTGAAAGCATAAACTGTTCTCTTAATGGGAAATGCTTTTGTTTTCATGTGATACTCAGCTGCTAGATTAGGACAAGTGCCTTAAAATCTTGGTAGGTAAGTTAAAAGGTATTAAAAAGCCTTTGCCTCCCTCACTTTATTATATGTCTGTAAAGCTCCTTGAGTATCTTGTGAGGGAAGAGACAAATTTTCTCTCCCTCCAAATAAATCAGGCCTGAAGGGCAATTGGCACCTCTGATTCCATAGGTGAAAACACTTATAAATCTGCATTTATAGTTCCTGAAGCCGTATGGATTTGATTTAATTATAGAAGCCTAGATTCCTGGTCTTCTGGTTGTCAGTGGAGTTGCCCTTAGTGTAAACTGATGCCTTCGAATCCGTATTGTTAGAAACTGTGTAGGGTAGTAAATTCAAAGAAACTGAGGCTAGAATCCTATATATGTCTGCTCAGAAGTAGAGGGTTGGACTAGATCAGTGGTGGCCAAACTTTGCCCTCCAGCTGTTTTTGGACTACAACTCCCATCATCCCTAGCTAACAGGACCAGTAGTCAGGGATGATGGGAATTGTAGTCCCAAAACAGCTGGAGGGCCAAGTTTGGTTAACACTGGACTAGATGGTCCTCAGGGTCACTTCCAACTCTATGATTCTATGATAAGGAAGTCTCAATTCAGATGCTGTGTCCCTCATTTTCAAGCTACAATCCTAGGAACATGCTGCTGTAGGGAACTTGCTCAAGAAAGGAGGGAGCAGTGATTTGAAGACTGACAATTCTATGTCTCAATTGAGCTCATAGGCATGTTGTGAAAGCAACTGACCAACAGATGGACTGTCCGTTTATCTTACTAAGATTTTAATAATTTAAGAGTCAAGCTTTTTCAAGCAAACACAAGCCTCCTTCCTGACAATTAAGATGTGCAGCCCTATTTAGCTTAAATGCCATAGTGCACAGCAATAGAAGAACTGGATTTTTTTAAAATGCAGATGTATTAGCTGCTTGATTAGGCTGCTTACGGTCTTATGATTATGCAAATAATTTGCAGTAAAATGCTGACTCAGATGAGTTTGTTTCAATTAGAAAGAAACTTCACAAGTTTTTCTGTGACGAAAAACGTAGCTACAAGGTCACCTTTTCCCTCTCTCCCCTCCCCAACCCCTGTCCTCCAGACGGAGAGAAATGTGACTGTGGTCCTTCTTAGTGAAATTGTGTGGGAGCTGCTTCGTCCAGCTACAGGATGCCTTGAACCATTGCCGTTGTTTTTTCCGGACTACAGCATAGGTAACACAATACACTTATTTTGGGTTGTTCGTGGCTATTAAACATAATAGCTAAACGAAATCTCTGTCAATGGAAGCTGTATACCTGAGTATCAGATGCTGGAGGCAAACCTACTAGGGAAAGCTACCTTCTCTCCACAACATGCTTCCAAGTTTCCAAAGGGAACTGGCTAGTTACTCTTGGATGCAAACAGAATACTAGATTTGATGGGCGCTGGGATGACGTTTAACATCTACTTTTTGAAGAACGAATAATTAGTACCTTTATTTTCTGTATGTGTGTATGCATCACACCCCTTGCAGTCAAAGGAATTAAGAACTCCTGTTTGAGAGAATTAACCTGGTTTTATGAAAAGGATGGTGAAATCCAGAGCTGGTTCTAACTCATTGTGAGAGAAAAATTACGTTGCTAGTTAAACTTCCAAATCTTGGAATTCTTTATCTTTAAGTGCATATCACATTACCAAGTTTTCAGCACTGTTGTAGCTACCAGAACTGGTCACCAGCAAAATGCTTTTTATATATATTAAAGAGCTTTTTATGCTTATGGTTGGGTGGGATGGAGCTGAGAAGAAAAGAAAAAATCACCTCTCCTGGTGTTCTAAACTAGGTCCTAAGCATAAGAGTAAACAGTAGCTCTGTTTGTTGCCTTGTCACAGATTCTTAAATTCAGATACTCATGAAGATTGACGTAGTAAGGATTGCATTAAAATGCATTAGTGTTACAAATAGCAATACAGAAAAATATAGCTATGAACAAAATACTATGTAATTAATGAACAACTAAGGTTGGTATATAGCATAATGATTAGGGCACACATAGCAGCACGATGACTTATGAAAGCAGCCCTAAATATCACAATAGGACAGCTGGAAATTATAAATATGTATTGACTAAAGCTGGAATCCATAAAAGTGCATGTTTTTCTGTAGTTCAATACCTACACTGAATTAACAACTCGGGTCAAATTTGAAATGGAGAACTTGTTCTTACCCTGAAATCTGGACCTGAAAGAGAAATTGAACAGAAGGGGCAACTTGGAGTTTGGTCTGATTAAAAATGCCTGATTTAGGGTACTTAAAGTTTGTTTAGGTTTTATTGTTGTACTCACAGCTGACTGAGTCCGAAAGTGTGTGCCTTTATCTTGAAGAGGGATGACTGGAAACATGTAAGCTTCCCCCTGAAACTGTTGGGATACTGCCAGGGAGACAAAGTCCATCATGACTCCACGTCGCCTCCGGACGATCCATCGATCTCCCGTAGATACAGTATCAGCAATTAGCGACACGAGCTCCAGAAATAGCTTGCCACATTCCAGAGCTGATGCACGCTCTATCAGCAGAGTTCGCATAGCGAAAGATGCACTCAGGAGAGCATATTTACAACTTTATTCAGCATTGGTCAGAACAAAGAGAACACATGACTGCCTGCTTCAGTGTCTCAGACACAGAGAGAAAACGAAAGCATAGACACAACAGAAACATCCTGTGAACAGGAAATACGCAGGCTGTGACACAAACATCCTGCTCCCTTTTAAGGTGGAACGGAAATATCCTAACAGAAACCAGACATGGTGATTTTGACAATCACTGTTCTTTCATGTTGGAGACTCCTTACTACTGGATTTTCCAGAGCTGGTTAAAAGGTGTTCAGTGCTGAATTGCCAGGAGGGGATTACAGGCCCTCTGGAAGAAAGGGGTGTTTCCTGCTGAAGCATAACTGTATATCTAAAGTGTGCAAACATTGTTTGTTCTCTGCATAATTTTTAACCTGAGAACAATTCTATGATGTGCTCATCAGCTTTTTGTTTTTCATTGCTCTTTATTTAAACAGGACACCTGCAAAAGATTCTGTCCCATGACCATCCTCCGGAGTATTCTTTTGATTTTTATGCTGCATATATAAATATTCTGCTTGGCGTTTTCTATCCTGTCTGCAGGGACCTGAAGGAGCTCCGACATCTAGTAAGGGATCTCTTTGGTGCTTTCATAATGAATGTGGTGTCATAGTGCTTTTGATGCTGGCTTTGGAATTCTTAGAATGTCCTATATAACATAGCATGTGGATTCTGTGCTATTTCTCAGTATGTAACCAGGTGTAGGTTGCTAGGTTGTCGGCTCGGCAGACAAGAAAGAGAAGCTCAGCGAGCTTGCAGCCTTCACAAAGCCACATTATTGATCTGCATACATAAAAGTAACTGTTGCCTACATGTAGGGGCTGGAATAATGCAGCTTTCTCACCAGCAGCTGAGCAAGTTCTGAAAGACATGGTTGCTGTGTCTGAACATCCTTGAAATGTACTAATGCCTCTTGGTTGCCTAGATGAATAGGTACACAAATAGAAATTTCTGACTTTTATGTGGCTGGACTGTAACCTACTGTACAAAGATATTTATATCCATTGTTGCATCCACTCCCAGCATGTGACCATTGGAAAGTTACCCTCTAAGTTATGTGGCTCCAGTACTGAAAGAGATTCCCCATTGCTGTCTTAAAATATGGACATGCATTCAGGACCTTCAGGTTACCAGATACGGCATTATACTGTCCTGCTTATCCATGCCAAAGATTTATTTTGTTTTTATGGCTCTGTGCAGCCACTAATCCATCTACCCTTTTCATGTTTTATTTCTCCTGCATGCAATTTCATTGTAAGCTGCTGCTCTTCAGAGTTGGAGAGGGGTGTTGCAGCTCCTTTTCGGATAGGGGTGGGATATTTTTAAAATGTGTCCCAGGGTTTTTTCAAATTCCAGGGATGTAAGGATTTAAAATGTGGGATGATACCAATTATACCACTGCTTGTCTTGCAGGCTGCACTCAATTTTTCCAAGTACTGTGAGCCTGTGGTCCAGCAAAAGGGTGAGTGTTTTTCGTTCATATGAATAAATAGTGGATGGTTCTAGAGAGGAGGCAATAAAAAGCTTTCTGAGTCTTTATATGTTTCTGACCATGATTAGACAAATGCTCCTTGGGCTGATTTACTCTTCCTCCTGCCTTCTCTCTCACCTGGGCATCGTTCTCTTTCAGTTTTGGGGCTTGCTGTGGAGTTAGTCTTATGTGTATTCCCCAAACCACAATTGGTAATCATTGTTGGAAATGGGGTGTGCAATACTTTAGGGGTCATGGGCAGGCTCAGTCATCTAATCATAGTTAGAAGATCCAGTGTGCTTTTTGGACTCTGCTAAACTGAACAGCAAGATTGGTTATACCCATAGGGCTGATCTCCAAGGAAGGAGAGGGGAATGCTTTCCTGAGAGAATGAGTGAGAAGGTGGGGATGGTGCAATTTCAGTCTCTTGAACAACGGTTAGGTAATTGGATGGTGCTTTGTCTGCACCTGATTAACAAGGAAAGGGCAGGACCGAAGAGTCTTTTAAGCTAAAAGGATGGAGGTAAGACATAGAATTATCAGTCATTAGGGCATGGAACTCTTGATCTCAGAGTTGTGGGTTTGAGCCCCACATTGGGCAAAAAGATTCCTGTATTACAAAGAGTTGGACTGGATGACCTTTGTGGTCCCTTCCAACTCTACAATTTCCATGATTGCAGTTCCAGTTATTCTCGGATTGTACACATCTGCATAGGAGGGGAGAGTGCATAAGCTGAGGTTTGTTCTACCTTATGCATATCCATGCTAAACCATCGGTCCGTTATCAAGACATTTTTCCATTATGCAACATTTGCAGCATAACAGTTATACTATAGTTTGATGTTATGAACATAATCAGTACCAGAATCTCAAAAGAAATGTGCCTTTTAATCTGTAAACCTATATTAAATCCAAGAGCCAGTGTATCACCTGAACACTTCTCAAAGTTCATCTTGAATCAATACTACTTTTCTGTGTTTGTGATACAGCAAGTGAACGTGACACACGCAAACTTTGGAAAAATATTGAATCCCACTTGAAGAAAGCTATGCAGACTGTTTACCTGCGGGAAATATCAAGGTAATTGTCCCCCTCTTTATTTTCAGAAAGCTGCCTCTCAAGGCTTACCTAAAATGTCAAGTAGGTGCTGTAGGTGGTATTCTTTCCTGCTAAAGCAGATGTCCTGGCTTTTAAAAATCTGTTAAATAGGTTACGCCTACCAATAAATGAAAAATAATGCAGTACGTGTCTGTTTCTAAATGGAACATTAGGATAAAGATGTTAGGTAAAGGTGCTGCTAGATGAGATATGGGAAGTCTGCAAATGAGTGTGGTGTGTTGGTGGAGAGGTGCTCGGGGTGATTTATTTATTTAATTAGTTTAATTAATAATTTTTTAATGCAGGAATTATGTGTTTTGGTTGTTTTCTATTTTTATGCTTGGGTTCCTTTTGTAAACTATATTGTAATGACTCCTTTGTTAAGCGATACACACAATTTGATTTGAGGTACTTAAATTTCTCCCACTGAAATTTGTGAGATTGACTGGTTAAATCAATTTTCTTCACTTCTCTCTTTCTTCCAGAGAGAGAAGGGGTTTTTGGATATTTGTGTGTGTTTGCAGGGGACAGGTTATATAATCCGTAGCAGAGCTTTAAGCTGAAGGTGTGTGATCTGAGATGCAGCAAATGTGTATATGGAAAAAAGTCTTCTTGTACCTGGAAGATTAGCATGGCAGGGAGAAGTCTGAAAGGGGATTTTGTCGCAGTCCCATACCATCCAGCATAACTGGATACTAAGCTCATGCGATTAATATTTAAAATTTTCTCTGATTTCTATTGATATTTATGTTACTTTAAAAAGTCAATACTTTAACGCACTTTAGAATCGTATTGTACAACTTAGCATTTTGATATACAGATAATAATAATAATAGTAATAAAAACAATAAATTTTTATACCCCTCCCTCTCCGGCCAGGGCTGGGCTCAGGGCAGCTAACACCAAATATGAATTACAATAAAACGTAACAGAAAAGAAAAACAACAACAAACAATTAAAATACAGCTTAAAATGCAGCCTCATTTTAGTAGTAGCCCATAAATCAAGACCATAAAGGGAGGAAACATCAGATATTCACCCGAGCCAGCTATCCATGCTGGTCCTATATGGGCCAGCAAAAAAGCCAAGGGAAAATTTATATACCAAATCCCATATAAGGGGTCAGAGTGAGTCTAAGCCGAAGGCCAGGTGGAACAGCTCCATCTTGCAGGCCCTGTGGAAAGATGTCAAATCCCGCAGGGCCCTGGTCTCTTGTGACAGAGCGTTCCACCACGTCGGGGCCAGTGCTGAAAAGGCCCTGGCCCCAGTTGGAACCAATCTAACCTCCTTGAGGCTTGGGACCTCCAAAGTGTTGTTATTCATGGAAGCTAAGGTCCTCCGTGGGGCATACCAGGAGAGGCGGCCCCATAGGACAAGTCTTTTGTAATTAACTGATTGTAGAATATTATTCTGTTTTACCTACACTTAACCCTTTATCCATTTTTCATTTACATGAATGTTGCTGTGTTTAGTGACTATTTTGGCCAGCAGGCCACAAATAGGGGTTTCCTAGACTTGAGGACTAGCTTTCTGTTCCCCCCTCTCTCCCCATCCCAGGTGAAATCATTTGGTGTTTTCTTTTGCGGGGGGTGGGAGTCATTCTTCTTGCTACAATTCCCTATCCAGTTTGGATACAACAATGAAATGGAACCAGAGAACCTGAATGGGGAGTTACCTAGCAACTGAAGCATTGTGTTTGGGTTTTTCCCATTCTACCCCTGTGCATGACAGTTTTAAAGCTAGTATTGTTTCTTTAGGCAGTTTAATATGGTTGGCATTTAATATAGTGCTTTTTGAGTAATCAAAGTATTTCACACACAATGCTTACACAACCTACCCCACATGGTACGTCAGTAATTTCCCCATAATGCAGGTGAGAGGCTAGAAGATTATGGCTTACCTAGGACCACTTAATGAACTTATGGTTTTGGTGAGAAGTGAACTAGAGACTTGCCTGTTGATACTCCTAAACTGGGTCTATAATGAGGCATCAGTAGTAGTAGTAGTTGCTTGCAGGCCAGGTTGCACCATCCTTAGGTTGTTGTTGTTGTTTAGTCGTTTAGTCGTGTCCGACTCTTCGTGACCCCATGGACCAGAGCACGCCAGGCACTCCTGTCTTCCACTGCCTCCTGCACTTTGGTCAAACTCATGTTGGTAGCTTTGAGAACACTGTCCAACCATCTTGTCCTCTGTCGTCCCCTTCTCCTTGTGCCCTCCATCTTTCCCAACATCAGGGTCTTTTCCAGGGAGTCTTCTCTTCTCATGAGGTGGCCAAAGTATTGGAGCCTCAGCTTCAGGATCTGTCCTTCCAGTGAGCACTCAGGGCTGATTTCCTTCAGAATGGATAGGTTTGATCTTCTGGCAGTCCATGGGACTCTCAAGAGTCTCCTCCAGCACCATAATTCAAAAGCATCAGTTCTTCGGCGATCAGCCTTCTTTATGGTCCAGCTCTCACTTCCATACATCACTACTCCTTAGGTTAGATTTAGCCAATGTTAAATCCAAGAATAAAAGTTACTTTGCCTGTTTTTGTCTGGCGAACTGATGTAAATCAGAATAATCTGACATCATTGTTAATCGTCTATATACTTTTAAACAGTTTAATTGCATAATTATTCTTATTCAAAAGTAACACAAATGCACTCACTCATCTCTAAAAATCAAATGTCTAAGTGTCTTGTTTTTAGGCATGGCAAATGCATTTTTAAAAATAGCTGCATTGTCTTTTAGCTCCCAGTGGGAACAATTACTCCAGGATGACGGTGAAGCCGGGCAACTAAAAGGTATGTGAAGAAGTAATAGTGTAGTGTTAATTGTTGACAAAAAATACCCCTGTAATTTGGAGCAATTCAGTCATTGTCTTCAGTATGCATTTGCGAATACACCGACAGTTTAAAGAAACTAAACGGGCAGCACGGAATGCTGGTACATATTTTCTTCCAGCAAATGGGGTTTGTGGTGATCAACATTGGTTAACTTAAGTCTTTCAAACTCATACATTTTTTTTGTCTCACAATTTTTTTCTAGGACTTTCAGCTCATGCTCATGTAGAACTTCCATATTATTCCAAGTTCCTACTAATAGCTGCATACCTTGCTTCTTACAACCCTGCCAGGACAGATAAGAGGTTCTTTGTTAAGGTAAATAGGTTTCTTCTTTTTGCCGTAATCTGTTCTAGCATTCTTTAACATTCTGTAATACATTTGTATGTCTCTAAAGAGGGACGTGGGTGGTGCTGTGGGTTAAACCACAGAGCCTAGGACTTGCTGATCAGGAGGTCAGCAGTTCGAATCCCCGCAACGGGGTAAGCTCCCGTTGCTCGGTCCCTGCTCCTGCCAACCTAGCAGTTCGAAAGCACATCAAAATGCAGGTAGATAAATAGGTACCGCTCCAGCAGGAAGGTAAACGGCGTTTCCGTGTGCTGCTCTGGTTTGCCAGAAGTGGCTTAGTCGTGCTGGCCACATGACCCGGAAGCTGTACGCCGACTTCCTCGGCCAATACAGCGAGATGAGCGCCGCAACCCCAGAGTTGGTCATGACTAGACCTAATGGTCAGGGGTCCTTTTACCTTTTCCTATGTCTCTAAAGAGTTTTATAAACCATGGCTAAAATTTCACTACTAGCTCTACATGTTCAATGGAGCTTTGATCCAGACTTGGTAGCGCTTCAATAGCAGCAATCTCTCCCCTCAATTCTATATGGCAAAACACTGTTGAAAGTGGGGGATATAGTTTCATCTGGGGTAGAGATCAAAGAAGAGAGTCAAAATTCTGACTGGACATACCTTTAAGTAGCTTTTTGACTCCTAGCCAGTATGTACTCATTAATAGGCTTTTCAGCAATCTCGTGTGACTGCAGTCTGAATGCTGCGTTCCTTGTAGATAACCTCCCAGGGGTGACACAGTGGTAGTGGGAAGGCCTAGAAGCAAAAATAGATAGAACAACAGATATGACTCTTGCCTTTCCAATATAGGCTACATTGGAGCCTCACAAAAGCCCTTCTCCGTCCTCCAGCACCATTCTCATAGTTCAAAGACACCTTCCAGAGAAGTCTGGAAGGCCACATTTTCTCCCTGCTCTGAAGGCTCTTCTCGCTTGCTTTAAAACAGGAGTGGGAAACTTGTTTTTTCTGCCATGGGCCTCTTTCTTTTGGGACTTCACACCACAGTGGAATCCTACCTGTATGGCAGTGAGAAAAGACGCTTTGGTCAGTTAGGAGGTGCATAAAACTAACCTACAGTAAGAGGCTTAAAGACAGAAAAGAATTAATACAGGGGTCGATGATCAATTGCATCCATCTGCTAGTGGAATGGACATACAATGGGACTTCTTCCTCTCTCCTGCTCTGCACCATCCCCCGCCACGCGTCCTAAATTCTTCTCTGGGTGGTTGGAGAGTCCCCTGGAGCAGAATTTTTGGGAAGGGGCATGGGTTGCAGGGGAAAGTAGATGTAGATGAAAGAGGAGTCCTGTTGCACAAGTGAAAGTCTGTGTGATGTTGGATTTCACTCACTGAGGGCATTGGAAACATGGAAGCTTTTTTCTAATACTGGGAGAAAAGCCTAAATCTAAACAATTGGTTGGTTTTAATTATTTCAAAGAAATGAATTGTACGCGATACATTTTATTAATCAATATGCTTGTTTTATACTACGCTGGGAAAAATAAAATTTAGATGTAATTTTCCCCTTTTTATCTTTATAAATTGCTTATTTTTAATAAAAATATTCAGCAAGGCAACAGTTTGATTTACTTTATATAACCAAATAGCAAAATCTGAAGAAACGTCAGTGGTGGGGTGATACCAGCATTTGGTTGGCAACTCTCCAAAATAATTAACCCTCCATGCCTTCCATCAATTGCTGTTTTGAACAGGCGCAAAATTGGCTTTGTATCTAAAATAACTACTTCTTTACCTAGATTTGATAAGGAAGCAAGGAAAGGCTGGCAGCATTTTAAAGTGAAGCAGTAGCTGCTTCATCTTGTCAGTTGATGGAAAGGAAAACATTTTCCCCCTCCCAGTCTTTTTGCAGCTATTTTACCAGTAGGGAGAGAGCGAGAGAGCTGCATGTTTTAAATGGCTGAAATGGTTTAGTGAATTTTCAGATAAATTTATGGATAACTGTTTTCAGAGGTACACACAATTACTTTCTTATTTATTTTTTATCTTATACCTTCCAGTAAATCTCTCCCCCCCCCCCCCGTTATAAATACTGTACTTTTTCAGTGGTGTGCACTGTCTGTCAGAGTTTGACGTGCCATGGGCAGGCCACAGTGGGCCATATTTTAGCATTGCTATTGTCCATACAGGGTTTGTGAAGAATAAATGAAATAAGTTATTACATGAAGTATACCTGCAACAATGCAGTTGTTGTGTATGCTGTCACGTAGCTGTGTGATATGTTCAGTGAAGTTGGGCTGTTCTCCCCATATAAATTATGTACCATTGTAAATAACTATTTCACAGTTGGAATTTTCTTTTCACTTGCAGCATCATGGAAAAATTAGGAAGAAAAACTTTCAGAAGAAACATGAAAAGGTAAATTCAGCTTTCTGTTTGATAGATTATCTCCATTCTGGTATACAATTGAAACAGAGTGTCACTAAATTGTCTTAACATATGATGAAATGTCCTATTTTATTTTCCTATATATTCTATGATTGCCTTGAGAGGACTTTGCCTTAAAAGGTGACCTAGAACTGCCTAAAGGAATAAAGGCAGCCACGCCCACAGGTGGATGTGTTATCTTTCTGCAATAGTTTGCATTGCTGGAAAGACCACCCCTTCTTTAGTTTGATCTGTGTCCTTTTAGACTTTTTAGGGTAGGAACTGTTTTGACTGAACACCCACCTCCAAGGAAACTCCACAGACATGCATATATAATTCCACACATGCAAAAATCCCCTGGTGGCCAGAGGCAGGCAGAAAGTTTCACTCCCTTACTAGCAATAGCAGAAACAAGCCAAATAAGAATCTATATGCAGATTTGCTGCTTTTGCATAATTTGTACAGGTTGCAGAATGTGTTTATATGAATAACATTAGAAACCTGTCAGGGAACTGCCATCAGTGCAGGAGGGAGAGAGCAAAAGCCAGATGGATTATAGAGAGCCTCCAGGGATCGTGGGAAGTAGCTCCTCTTCAACGGAAGAGAATAAACGCGGCGCCAGTGGAGAGGAGGTGCAGGAGTCAGAAGTGGCGAGGCGGTCCCAGGACTCCTTGCCTGGGAGAAGCGGGGAGGGAAGGGGTCCTCCGCTGCCCACGCCCTCTTTGCGCAGAAGGCGTTCGCGCAGAGAGGGAAGGCGCAGACTGGGCGTCAAGGAGCTGCTTTGCTGGAGAAAGTTTAAGAACCGCCCACTCACGGATTCTGCCAGCGATTGAGTCAGCCACGGGAGAGTGGCGCTCCGGACTGATAATGTTTATTTTGGCAGCCAAGCCAAGTCTACACAGCCAAGTAGGGAGATATTTGCCTGCTTGCTCCCGAGCAACCCCTTGGAAACATAACAAAACCCTTCCTGGATTTTTATACCATTGCCTATGATTGTTTCCTCCGCTCCTTTTAAGATTGCAGAGCTGCTATATCTTTTTGATAACTAGTGCAGTAGAATGGCTAAAGTTGTTGCTGAGAGAGATTGCCATCCAAAGATTTAGAACCGCGACTGCCTTCCCTTTAATCCTAGTTGTGAAGCAAGGAAAAATAAGGAATGCACACTTCAAGAAGAGATGTTGAAATGAAAGATCAGTTTATGGAATGAAAAAAATGTTCCCCACATCTACAGTTTTATACTGTGTAAATTAAATAAGTTAAAACCATGCATTCATCATACAGATTACTGGGTTGTAGCAAATGCTGACTTTTTCTCCCCATTTTTCCTTTATAAACATACTAGAGGCTCACCTGATCTTTGAATGTGCACAGAGCCTTAACAGAATTCAGGTGACCACATCATAGCTGTGTACTTAAATTATAAGTGTGGAACATACAAGTTGCATTGAAATTCTTATTACTGGACCTTGAATTACAGTCCCCTGGCTATCTAAATTCATTGTGAATCATCAGCCTTTTCAGATGTTGCACTAAGCATGGGTGTTTGGCCTGCAAGTGCCTCATGTTTGCATGCTTCCGTCTTTGGCACAGCCATGAGATTGGAATCCTGCTTCTAACCAGACTTCCTTGTTGCATCCAATCTCTGTGAAACTGGTTCAAACAGAAAGCTGGGTTTCCCCACCCTTTTAAATTTATTTAATCAGTATAACTAACTGAGGCAGAATCTGGCAGGAGCACCTGTACAAGCCCAAGAGCAATAAGAGAAATCTGTGCAAGAGCACTCTCAATTTATTTTAATGACGCTTCTGTAAGAGGCACCCTCAACAGATTGCATTGCCTGTTGTTAGTGGTTGTCACTACTACTAATTATAATCTTCATTGTGTTACTGGCTAGCAGGGGTGGTGAAGCCATGGCCCTCCAGACACCAGCCTCATCACATGTGAGTTTTTAAAAGGGGGGGGGGAACCCACAGTTGCAGTCCGAACGCTTGGCCATTTTGCTAGAGCAGAGCTTACCAACCTTTTTGGACCAGTGGGAATATTTTAAACTTCATGAAAGTGCTGTGGGCACCAGTCACAAAGTGGCTGCCATGGGCACATGGCATAACATAAAATGCTGCAAATGTTTGTGCTCCTTTTTGTTTGTTTTCTTCACTTGGACAAGATGTCTGTTTTCTAATATAAGTCTTCTTGTCTCTAACAGCTTATTTGATATTATTTGCTAACTATACTGGCATCCTTTTGGCCTAGATGAGCTTCTAATACTGTGGTTTTAAACAGTCCCAACTGTTTTTCTGCAGTCTCTTTATCTTTAAAAAGTTGGGTTAATATGTATGAAATCCTTGTAATTTAGTACAGACTGATTCCTGAAGTCTTGAATGCTTTTACTCCTATACTGCAAAACAGTGTATTAAAAATAAAAAGCGGGGCTTTTTGTTAAGTGTAAAAACGTATTGCTGTTTGATAACTGGAAAAATAATATAAATAAGATCCAGCCTGCTATGTTCCAAGAAAATCCAGCTGATGAAATATACTTTTTTTTAAAACAGACCAGCAGTCACCTTCTTGGGCCAAAGCCATTCCCTCTGGACAGATTGTTAGCAATATTGCATAGTATTGTTGATAGCCGAGTTGCTCCAACTGCAAATATATTTTCTCAGGTGAGTTAAGTTCCTAATATAAATTTTTTAGACAACAGTTTACTGGTTTCTCTTTACAATATAATTGTAAGCTTTGGTTGTTTCTTGTGTTACCCTAATTAACCACTCACAGAAGTTATTTTAAATATTTAATGAGAAATTGACTGTGTGTTAGCAATTGAAACTTCCAAAGGTTCAGACTCATGGTTTCTCACTGTTTGGTTGTCATTTAATTCCAAATGTTACCAATCACCTTCTGAAGAGCTTTTAATGCAGATTTTAGCCAAGTATTTGTTGTGTTCATGTTGATATGTAGAAAGTCTGCGCTGCATGTTGCAGCTGTTCATTGCTTAATATAATAGGCATGATTTAATAATCTAACCTGTGCTCAAGTTATGATATATACACACACATGAATTGTTACTTGGCACTACAGAACAGTAAACCACTTTTTAAACTGGTTCAAACTTAGAAAGGTGTTTCAGGGTTTTTGACCTGGCAAGGAGGGAGAGGGATTAACTTGAGAGTTATTCACTCATCTTTACACTTCTCATATATTTTGCCTGTTGCCCCTTCCCCAAGAATTATGTCTAAAAGGAAAGCACTGTAAATGCAGGTAGCTTCACTCAGGGTAAGAGTAGTGAGAAATGTGCTTGGTAATTTGTATGATGCAACCCCACCATCACCACCAATGAATATCTGTCAAAAATTAAGCAGTGTGGTCTTGAATATTAAATCAAAATGATTACAATTGGCAACCAAAATGATAGGCACCGGAGCACTGACGCCATAAAAAAGAGAGAAGGTATAGCATATCTAATGTGCAGTACAGCCGCTGTTTTCTGACTCCAAAAATGGTCCCAGTATGGTCTCTCTTATATTGTTGGCCTAGATGGGGAAACCATATTCTTCCTGAATGAATATAATTTGTCAGTTCTGTCATGCAACATACACACAGACACCTCTCATTCTCCTCTTTTTATATCCTTCTCTTGCAACCTACTGGAAATGTGACAAACAGAACATATATGCACCATGTGTTATAAACATTAACTGCCACATTCAGTTCTCTTTTTCCCTTTCTTCTGATTTTGGAGCCTTACTGAGTTGATGCCATCAGGTGTCCAAGTGGCTACCATTGACCAAAGGAATAGGTTAAGTAATTTTGAATGCACCAACTTGCTAACCGTGTAACCTACTCTCCTGGTAATGCCACTAAGAAAGAACTTTGTTTAAGTTACACATTTGAGAAAGAACATTGTCAACTTTCTTTATAGTGTATAGATCTTGCTCGCCATGCTCCTTCATTCCCCTGCCCTGTCTTAAGTCTGTAGCAGTATCTTCTATGTAACATTCTGATATTTTTATTGAGTCAGTTTTCACTAGATGGCAGCATAACCCAATGAACAAGGGCAGTATTTCAGGAACTGACCCTCCATCAATGCACAGGTTTTTCTTTCACATTAAATAGAAGTGTCGGATGGAAGTTTACCCAATGCAACCTTCCCTGTTGTGTTTAATAGATAGAGTAGTTGTCTGTGTAATAACTATCTGCATGTGTGAATGAGCTTTGTATACATTAAAGTTACTGTTTCTCCATGTAGGAACATGGCTTTTACATTGTTATCTTTAAAAAAACCCCTAAAAAAACAACAACTTTTGAGGTGATCTAGTGCCTGTTCTGGTCTGGCCATGATTATTCAAATTCACTCTGTAGCCTCATGTAGCCCATGCCTGTGCAAACACAGGTAAACAAGTCTTTCAGACCAGGCATTATGAGCATCACTCATGCCAAATGGCTTCTCTGCCCTGGGACCCTGTATTTTGAAAATATGAAACCAGCAGTTATTCAGATTTGTATCTAAAATTATAAGTGAAACAGGCAGGTCTCCTTGGGAAGCAGAGAGTGGAAGTAATGGGAAAATCAAGGTCTTCATATTTGCAAAGCTGAAGAATAATTTTAGATGGAGTACTGGGTAAAGAGGGACGCGGGTGGCACTGTGGGTTAAACCACAGAGCCTAGGACTTGCCGATCAGAAGGTTGGCAGTTCGAATCTCTGTGACGGGGTGAACTCCCGTTGCTCGGTCCCTGCTCCTGCCAACCTAGCAGTTCAAAAGCACGTCAAAGTGCAAGTAGATAAATAGGTACCGCTCCGGCAGGAAGGTAAACGGCGTTTCCGTGCGTTGCTCTGGTTTGCCAGAAGCGGCTTAGTCATGCTGGCCACATGACCCGGAAGATGTACGCTGGCTCCCTCGGCCAATAAAGCAAGATGAGCGCCAAGATCCCAGAGTCGTCCATGACTGGACCTAATGGTCAGGGGTCCCTTTACCTTTTTACTGGGTAAAGATCAGTTGAAACCAAATAGGATAAGCAGACAAAAGTGGCTGAAGGGCATGCAACTCTGAAAAAGCAAAGAACTGTATTAGGTGGTAGAAGATCATCATCTAGTTCTAGGATCCCACGGTTCACTTATTGTTTCTTTGTTCCAGTAGCATTGAGTGCAGCCACTAATCTGCACTGCTATTTTGTTGTTTACCGTTTAGTACTTACTGGCTAAGTACTCAGTACTTTGGGACATTTTGCTTGAGTTTTCCCCCTAATAGACCAACGTGTCTGTTATGGAAATGTTTTGAGTCCAGTATTGTTTTCTGTTTCAGAATATACACTAGATGGCAGTTGTGTCAAATAATTGCCCTTCTTGAGTTGCATTGCAGTTTGAAACTGATTAAAATGTTGCTTTATTTAAAAGTCAGCCACCCCACTCAAGAAGCAAAAATGTAGGATAACATAGTCTAATACAGTTTGAAGAGCTCATGTACACAAACTGCCTTGCAGCTTCTTCCTTAAGATGCTTCCTTATAAGCAACTGAGTGTATGTGATTGTGTGTACTGCAACTACGTAGGCAGAGAGGATTATGTGGGTCTTTCCACCCAAATGCCATCCCATCAGGAGGGAGGTAAGCCAGTAATTGGGTGGGATAAGATTTATACAGGAAGCCCTATTCATGTGGTTTGCAGTGTTGGTACATATGCTGCTGTTGTGTGGAATAACACAACAGGGAAGTGACTGCCATGCACACATGTGTGATGGGAACCTGAGATTCATCTCTCCTTAAGGACGGACTGGCTCATAATTCAAGAATCAAATGGTACAGCCTTCCAACTAAACCCAGCCCCCTTTGGTTGGGTTTAAGGTGGGCAAGACAAAAAGGGCTACTCCCCTTTTCACTTCTTCCTGCTTTGTAATGGGGTAGGAGGGACAGGGAGAGGAACACAAATAAGAGAAGGAAGCAAATGCCTGTCTATCTCCCTGCCATTTCTCTATCATGCAGTTTCCTCATCCACTCCCAAGGACAAGAGCTTTCATTCCCACATTGCCTGCTTCTGCTTCACCTCTCTCTAGTACTGTTCCTTGCAGGATGGAGGAAAATATGGTGTATCAATTCAAACTTCCTCCTGAGAGTGACTCAACAGTAATGCCAACCGCTTACATGGCATATACTCTATATATGTTGTGTTAGAATTGGTTTTGATTAAAGTAATATTTTCTTGCACGTATGAGAAAGGTGAAGGTGCCATTTGAATTTGTTTGGTGTTTTTTAAAAAAAATCATATTGTGTATTCTTGTACAGTGTTTAATATTTTAAAGAACAATAATTCCACATTTTCAGTATTAGGACAGTAGTATTTAAATCCATAATATTTCTTTTCTTAAAATAAAAAAAAATCTAGCAGATAAAGTAGAAATGAGATTGCAGAAGCCAAATATTTTTAAAAGATCCTTGTATGTATCGAAGCAGTCTTCCTTAATGCATACTAGGCAGTTGCAGCCAGGTAATCCATAACCTCAGTTGGAGTGAATCTTCTCAATCTTGCCTTATTACAGATGCCAACCTCTATGTTATTTTCTGTCATTTGTCTTTCAAAGCTTTCCTTCAGTGTCAATATGAATAGCATCTTTAAGCTCCAAGTCTTTGCTGTACCTCTTTTCAGGGAATGTCTTCCCATTCACATAGTTGTCTTCCCATTGCAGTTGCTTTCCATGCAAAATAAGCACCAGATGGATCAGGCTGAAATAAATATGGTCATCCCTCATTCCACCCACATATTAGCAATGATACACCAAATGGGCAGACATCCCCAGATTTTGTGTAGTCTTCCATTACAGAAACAACCCCTTGCACTGGCTGAGCTGTTAGAATAGGTTCATGATAAACCAAGTAGAACTGCTGGGCCAGTTTGTGTGCTGTGTGGACAAGTACTCAGTAATCAGCAGCCATATACCAAGCCTATGTGTTTGATTTTGGATTCCACTTTGCATACGCTTCATTCATCATACAGAATGGATTTCTGCTTTTTCCCTGTTGCCAGTACCACGCCATTTAAGCAGCAATGCCAACTGATGGGGCTCCTGTGGCAACAGCTCGCACGCCAGAGGAGGAGAAGCGAAGTCACTGGGCTCCACACTTGGCATGCGCCAGGTGGGGGCCGGACGCACGGAGGGCAGTCTTCACCCTCGCTTGTCCCAACTCCCTCCCAGGCTGCCAGGCAGAGGCTGGGAGAAGCAGAGGCAAAGATCGCCCTCACTTGTCCCAGCCCCCTTGTGGGATTCTGGGCAGGGGCTGTGGTTCACGGAGGGCGCCCAGCAGCAGTGGGGATTGCCGGCCCCCTCAGTATTGGGGGAGCTAGACCCCCTGCTTCAAAATATTGAGGGGGCTGAAGCCCCTTCAGCCCCATATAGCTGGTGCTACTTGGTTGCAGCTACAACTTCCATTTCCTGTTTTTTGGTAATGTTTTGAGTTTCTCTTGTCCCCCCCCCCCCGGCTTCACCCTCTTTCTGTTCAACAACATTTTCTACTTCCTCTTCTGTTTCAAGAATTTGTGAGATATCCGGGTTCTCAAGCCAGTTGTGGGCTCTGTTTAAACCAAGTGTGATAAGCATGGGGCATCATGAGCTGCACAATTTCAGTCCTTTTGCCTATTTTTAGGTCTGTTAGCTTTTGTAGCCAAATGATCAACCTGTTTTATATGTTTGCCCTCTCAAAAGAGTCCTGAGGAGCAAGCCTTGCTATAAATGATTTCCAAGACATGCCACTTTACCATTAATTTCTCTACTACTCTGTTGCTGAAGGCACACCCATTAACAGTCTGCAAAATACTAGGATCTCCAAAAGTAGTGAAAATGTCCATCAGATTGTCTGCAACTTTTGCATTCTTGCTTGCTAAAACTCTGTATCTTTTAGCAAGATGCAGATAATATCACTGTAGTAATGTGGCAGTGAGAGAGCTAAATTGGAAGTCATTGCTATCGGAAAGAAGCAAAAATAAGATTCTACAATAAGACTCTTCTTGGTTATTTTCATTTTCCTAGTCAGTGTTAGTTGCTTGTTTTTCTGTAAAAATAGCCTGTTTGGGCTTACAGAGAAGTGAGTTAGGTCTATGTTTTCTTGGAGAGTGAGTCATAAAAATAACTTTGTCCCTCACTTTTCACTGATCATTACTTTCCTTTGACACCTGCTGCTCACTCCTCAATCTTTGCTTGCACCTAGTCAGATTGATTTCTCTGGCAACATGGCCTACTTCTTCTCCTGGAACCTTTAAAGCATTGCTTTAAAGGCCCATTGAGAAAGCTGTATGTGAGCTATATTTTTTATAATACCAGAGGTCAGCTTTATTTTCCATTCTGTGAGTGCTTAGAGCCAGACGGATTCTTAGGTGGAACCAGTGTGTAGAATTCTGCCAGGCCTTCAGCTTAATCTGCACAGTTATTGGTTATTTATGAACATTTCCAAGCATTACTGGTGGACAGTGTATGGTGAACGATCAATATACAAAATTCCTTCATATATAGCTACTTTCCGCACATTATCTGAGGTTACTTGGAGACTATCCTTATTGCATGGGTGAAGCACAAAATGACCAAATTAGGCTGAAGTATTCACATTCTGCAGTGTTTCTTGGACACTATGCATATCTTATTGCATATCTTATTTTATCTAATGGGATTTAAATCTGCTTAATCATCAGAACTGCTAATATGTTAACGTATTGCTCAGAAAAGGTACAAAATGCAACTGAGAATATGCACATTCCCCAAGACTTGTTAGAAATTATATATATCAACCGGAAAATATACACTAGTTTCTCTTCACGGATAGATTATGAGCACAGCTTCCATGATGTGAAATTGTTCATTGACTGGTTATTATGCACCTTGATATTTCAGCTTGCTCCTAACAACAATCAGATTTCTCTTCCAGAGATCCCTAGCCTCCCTCATACAACACAGAAATATCTTAGAAGAGGAAATTACCATTGCACCATTTGAAATATGTGGTGTAGAACATATTTAGGATTGGAGTCTACAGATAATAAGCCTGATCCTGGCCTCTTCTTTGTTGAAAGAAAAGACTTGCTCCACAGTAGTTTAAACACTAGTTTATCATGAGAGAGGAGGAAGAGAGCTGTCCCACTTCCCTCTAACATCTTGAAATAGGTTTGTACCTGTGCTAGAGGAAGTACAAGGTTGCTTCTGTCCTGCTCTACTGCAGATTATAGGACCATGCTCCAGAGTGGTTTTAAAACTGTTCTAGGGAAAACTGGGTCTCATCTGCATATTGAGAATACTGTTAGGATATAGTTCCGTTCCACCTTAAAAGGAACAAGCATGACTGTTTTGTGTCACATGCCTGTTTACTTCCAGCATCGTCTGCTGGGAACTTCCGTTTGTATATTGCTTTTGCTTTTTTTTTTTTTTTTTTTTTTTTTTTTTGCTGTTTGCTGGACACAAGGGGAAGCAGACATGTTTTTCCTTTGTTCCTGAACTATGCTGAATAAACGCCTGTAAATAATGCTTACACATGTCTCTGTCCACCACTTCCGTTGTGAGAAGATTTATTCACTCTGCTGATAGAGCGTGCCAAGTCTCTAAAGGGATCTGAGGCTTGTGTCGCTGATTGATGCTGTTCCAAGGGAGGCCGGAGTTTGCCCGGCTGGTGGCTGGAGCTAGCTGGGGGCCTGCCTGATACCCCCATCTCCCCAGCAGCATCCCAACAAATACCACTCCCCACATGCACAGATGACCCTTCCAGTGGCTTCATATGGGTGTTGTAGGACTTGCCATTGAGCCAAGCAAGCACGCTTCCCGAACATGGCCACTTCCTGAAACCTATTTGTAGGTAGGAGTGGAACTGCTGAAACACTGTGCTTCAAACTCACAGTCTGCATTGCTGATCCAGGATACCTTGGTCAATGGTATCCAAAGCCAGTGAGAAATCAAGGAGAGCCAACAGAGTTGCATTCCCCCTGCCTCTCTCCCAATGTGGATCATGGGTTAGGGCAACCAAAGCTCTTTCAATGCTAAAATTGAAATGGGTCAGGATAATAAACTTCTTTAAAACAGTCTTCAAGTTGCACGGACACCACTCCCTCAAGCGGAGATGTTTTCGCAATCTTCTGGGTCCAGGGAGATCCTCTAAAGAGATCCTCTTAAGGAGGGGATCCACCACCTCCTTTAATGAAGCTGGTACCACTGCTTCCCACAGTGAGGCATTAACTACTCCCTGGACCCACCTGGGTTCTCAGAAGACAATTTGATATGACCCGTGGATAGAAAGTTTGATAATCCTTCACTAGGAACATTCATATGTGATAAAAGTGATGCAGGATTCCCTGGTGATTATGTACTCTAGAAACTGTCCAACTTTTACCTTGATGTGTTGTCACTTTTGACTGGATCATTGCAAAGGAGAAGAGAAGTTATTATTGGAAACTGAAAAGTGAGTTTATTTTGTATGGCTATTAAATCATTCCTTTTGTGGTTTCCGTTACATGTCATTGAACTCATTTTCTACAAGGAGATAGCATCTTGAAGTTTAAGCTAGAGGAGTTAGATGACAAGCACTAAATCTTTGCTACATTCTGGGGATGGATAGAAGAAATACTGGACAAATTCTTGATAAGATTACATGCACTGTTTGTTAATGTTTAACTAACGGACCCTAAAGAATTGTGCTCTGCTCTGCTGGAATCTGCCCAGTGAATGTATTAGTGTCCCAAATTACAGGGTATATTACATAAACAGGTTCCCTCCTACAGAAATAACAAATAAATTTAAGAACAGGTGTAGAGAAGATAAGTAGGCACCTGTGTGATTAGTCTGACCAAGAGTTGATCATAAAAGGCGCTATCTGTCTTTCCACATTCATATCGACCTTCCACAAAGGTGCTGAAAAGAGCTTTTATATAGTTTTCCCATTTTGTCCTTGTGACAACCCTGAGCTGCAGAATAGGCTGAAAGCTAGTGACTGACACAAGCTTCATGGCCACGTAGAAATTTGAACCTGGATCTTGCAGGTTCAAGTACAGCATTCTGTCCGCTACACCATATTAAAGCGACTGTTGCATTGAAAGGAAGGACCTTGGTTGTTCAGTGTATTTACTCATGAGGAACTGCATTTGTTTACACTGTTCTAGCAACAGGAAAGGGCAGATCATGTCACATACCAAGTAGCATTACAGTTCCCTTCATAATATTTATGGTAAGGAGAAGGCATCTGTCCTGCTTAGATACACATATAATGCCTATTTAATTTGCTGGATAAAATTAGTAGTATTTCTGTAGCATACTACTCTCAAACTCTTTAAGTTCCAGTACTTAATAAGTTGAAGATGTGCAGCAGGGATGAGGACTTTGGCACTCCAGATAATGTTGGACTCTTAACTCCTATGTGAGTTAAGTGTGGTGTAGTGGTTAAGAGTGGTGGACTCGTAATCTGGTGATCCGGGTTCACTTCCTGACTCCTCCACATGCAGCTGCTGGGTGACCTTGGGTTAGTCACGCTTCTCTGAAGTCTCTCAGCCCCACTCACCTCACAGAGTGTTTGTTGTGGGAGAGGAAGGGAAAGGAGAATGTTAGCCGCTTTGAGACTCCTTCGGGTAGTGATAAAGCTGGATATCAAATCCAAACTCTTCTCTTCTTCTCTTCTTCTCCTATCAGCCCCAACCAAGATGGTCAAAGCCCATGGATGATGGGACAACATTTGGAGGGCCACAGGTTCCCCATTCCTCCTTTATAGCATTGATTTCACAAAAGACTATGATAGAAATCAGTGCCAGTTGTTGGGTTTTTTTAAATGTTAGTATAAAAAGGGAAGCACAACAGTGCAAGCTTTGACTTCTGCTTCCCTCAGGCCAAGATGATTCTGCAGAAATCTCTGTGGTGGCAGGTAGAAGACAGAGGGGCCACCACTGTGAGCTGGTGGTAGCTCACCAGACTGCTTTTCTTTAACCTTGACATAGATAAATCTCAGTTTAAGAATTTGAAAGCCCCCGGAGCAAGCAGCTGAGTTTCCACAAAGTCACCACAAACCTTAGTCATGGAGTAGAGTGTACCATATAATTATCAAAATGGTTCTGTCTGGAACTTATCTCTTTTAGTCATAGGGACAAAGATTTCTCAGCAAGGCATAGCCCTGGACATCACTGTTTCTAACCAAAATTTGGCCATGAGGTATAACTTAAGCTTTTGATTTGATTAAGAATGCACTTCATATTTACAGCTGTATCACTTAGACCGAAATACTCAATGCTAATATGATGTGACTCAGTCAAAATAATGAGCACTACTTTCACCATGCTTCCAGCTGGAGAGAGCCAAAGGGACTGTGTTTGAATAACAACCAAAATGTTTGGGCTTTTGAAGGAGGGACAATGTGACAGATTATCCCCCTGTCACGACTTTTCTTATCTGTTTCAAATGGATTGAACCTGGCAAGCTCCAATTACTGTGCTCTTAATTATTGTCCAAAGTTTATGTAGTGATTAAATCCAGTGAGAGACTTGTCTAACAACTCATCACAGAAATATAGGGATATTTTCCAAACCAAAGGGCTTGATGAACTTAAATAAACTGTTGTTTCCAAAATAAGGTCTAAGGTTTCGGGGTTTTTGACTCATTTCCCCATGGGAACAGTCTGTGGTGTCAGCTACATAGGCTGGAAAGGAACCTTACTGGTTGTGTTTCTCTGTTGAAGAAATATGGCAATTTAATAGTTATAGTCTTCTACTAAGCATTGCCATGGCTATAATTATCCTTATTTTTCACTGGTTCTGTAAATTACATCTCAAACTGATTCCTGGAGTATTTTCCTTGGTATGAAATGAATGGAGACCACTACATAAGAGCATGGATAAACTTCTGTAGTTTCCATAATTCCAGTGATTCTTGAGCAGAAAAAATATCCCATCAGATTGTGCACAATGGTATTGTTTTGGTGAGTTTTTTATGGCTTGTCCCAAAAAATGGTCAGTCCCCTTTCACTTTTCAGACAACTACTGGAAGAATAGGCTATTTAGGTGTTATATAAATTTTGTCTATAAATGTACATGCCTATATAGTTGGTCAGTCTTAAGTCTTTCTGTTGAACAATTAGAATGGACAAGGGATTCTGAATTGACTAAGAGCTGAACGGGTCATCTTCTTTCTTTAAAACAAGGTTTTCTGCAAGTCTTGCCTTGATAGCTGATAATAAAATCCACCTCTTAGGCCGGATGGAATGAGTTGTCACCAGCTCATTCAGCTGAAGTGTACCTTGCACTTCAGAGGGAGAAAAGGGGATGGAAAGAAGTTTAAAAGGCCATAATTTTCTTGTTATTTCTTTAAAACTTTCACTTGTGACAAATGTGGCAAGAACTTTCAAGTTAGACGTGTAGAAAGCGCAGCATGGTAGCTTTGGTTAGCACTTCAGTATGAAATGTGGCACTTTCAGAGAACCTGCTGTTGCACTGAAGAAAATGAGCAGGCTGTACTTTTTATAGCAAATTACTAATAGAATGTCAAGGCTTGCCATTGGTGTGAACAAAAAGAAGAAAAGAGAAAAACACCATATTTCCCATTAGAATGTTTTATTTAAAAAAAAAAAACAAATTAAAGGTGATGGGATGCAGTCACTAATAAGTCGTAGTCATTTTAATTGATTTTAAACCTTTTTCCTCTTCTGAAAATGGAAGCTTTTTTCCTAGTTTATGTTTTGCAGATAATCAGACTTTATTAAATGTACTGTGCTGCATATTATGATGCATCTTTCTATTCAATTCACTGATGTTGTCACTTTGCATCTATTTACCAACATTCTCACAAGTGATCTCAGTATTTTTTGTTCATTTTTAGTAGAAATTAATGGGCATTTGGAAATTTTACACAGACGAAAGATTATCTGACTACTTTGGAAACTGCAGAATGTACCATTTTATATTATCAAGGGAGTGTAGGTTTTCTGTGTGGTATGTCTTAATATTGTATTTTTATTTTGTTTTTGGTGAATATGATCTACTTGGTTACCAGCAAATGAAGATTTCGTTGCAGCAATGATGGAAAATCACCATTATTTAGTTCTCACAGTTTCTCAGCAAAATACCGTAAAAATAGATGCTGGTCCCTAAGAATTAGAATCGTAGGATGTTCATCCCTGCTCTTATATATAGATTTCCAGTTGCAAGCCAGCAATTAAATTCTGGTAACATTTCTGCTCCAAACCTTGAAAGAAGTTCTAGTGAAAGTATTTGCTAATGGTGTTTGACTGCATTTCTGAACTGACTTTTCTCTGTGTATTAACTCATTCATGTACTTCAGTAGAACTGGTGTTGGAGTCTGCAGAAAGTGAATTTTTTTATCCCAGGAGTGGGGGCATTTTCCCCAAGGTCATGCTTGGAAGCCTGCTGTTCAGAGGAGAAACCCCAGTTTACTGATTAGCTTTGCTCAGTTTGTTTTTAAGTAAGTGGCATAACTCCGCACAGGCAACACACACCATGGTCAAGGAAGGTTATCTGTTGCTTTGTGTGATGTCTGAAATGATAAATTGTAGTTAACAGCTATTGCTGCACTTCCAGAGGCTGCTGCATCATGGAGACTATCATGAAATTATGAAGGGGAATACTCAGAGGATGGGAAACAGAAGCAGACAAACTGGGTTTTGTGTTGTACTTTTGGAAGCTCAAACAGTGGTTTGCATTCTAAATTAAGATTAGTACGAACAATGAATTGGTGTAATATCTTTAACTGAGCTATAGTTGGGCAGCTCCTGTTCTTTCCTGTTGTGCCTGTGTTTTTATATCAAACAAATCCAGCTGAAGCTTGTTACTTACTGCCTTTTTTTAATCTTGCTGTTAAATACAAGCTCCTATTGTTTGGAGCTAAATAATCGGCTCATCCTTATGTAGACAAGAACAAAGACCGTAATAGCACATCTGGTTTATCTCTTAGTAGAGCAAAGATTAATTAAGTGGTAATGGTGCAACTTTTCTTAATAACTCTTCTAAATAAAGCAAGCTTGAAAATGGGAAAAAAGAGATCTGTCACTTAGATGCCTCTTGTAGTTTTGTTGACAGGTTTGGAGGGGTTGTTAAAATTCTCTTTCAGTTGAGGGTGGGAATATTTTTGTTCATGGGTTTTCTGGAATTCAGAAATCCTGTTCCTTTAAATGATAGAACAAGTTGTTGTTGTTGTTTAGTCGTGTCCGACTCTTCGTGACCCCATGGACCAGAGCACGCCAGGCACTCCTGTCTTCCACTGCCTCCCGCAGTTTGGTCAGACTCATGTTTGTGGCTTCGAGAACAGTGTCCAACCATCTCGTCCTCTGTAATCCCCTTCTCCTTGTGCCCTCCATCTTTCCCAACATCAGGGTCTTTTCCAGGGAGTCTTCTCTTCTCATGAGGTGGCCAAAGTATTGAAGCCTCAGCTTCAGGATCTGTCCTTCCAGTGAGCACTCAGGGCTGATTTCCTTAAGAATGGATAGGTTTGATCTTCTTGCAGTCCATGGACTCTCAAGAGTCTCCTCCAGCACCATAATTCAAAAGCATCAATTCTTTGGCGATCAGCCTTCTTTATGGTCCAGCTCTCACTTCCATACATCACTACTGGGGAAACCATGGCTTTTACTATACGGACCTTTGTTGGCAAGGTGATGTCTCTGCTTTTTAAGACGTAGTCTATGATGGTCATCCGAACTGAATTCGCCTTTTCCCGTCCATTTTAGTTCACTGATGCCCAGGATGTCAATATTTATTCTTGCCATCTCATTTTTGACCACATCCAACTTACCAAGGTTCATGGTTCTTACATTCCAGGTTCCTATGCAATATTTTTCTTTACAGCATTGGACTTTCCTTTCGCTTCCAGGCATATCCGCAACTGAGCGTCCTTTCGGCTTTGGCCCAGCCGCTTCATCAGCTCTGAATCTACTTGTCCTTGTCCTCCGCTCTTCCTCAGTAGCATGTTGGACGCCTTCCGACCTGAGGGGCTCATCTTCCAGCGTCATAACTTTTATATGCCTGTTGTCTTTGTCCATGGAGTTTTCTTGGCAGGGATACTGGAGTGGCTTGCCGGTTCCTGCTCCAGGTGGATCACGTTTGGTCAAAACTCTCCACTATGACCTGTCCATCTTGGGTGGCCCTGCACGGCATAGCTCATAGCTTCTCTGAGTTATTCAAGCCCCTTCGCCACGGCAAGGCAGTGATCAATGAAGGGGAGAACAAGTTAACACTATTCAAAAAGGCTTGCAGAAGCTTGTCTTCAGGACTTGTAAATGAAGATACCCATTTTGGTAAAGAAAGAATAGATTTGTCCCAAGCGTTTAAAAAGTGTAACATTTTTGAGGCACACTCCAATGTCTCGAGACAGACAGATGCCAACAACCTGGTCCCCATGTTGTTCAGCTTATATCTTTCTCATGCCCTAAAATTGCATCTGCAGTGTGGGGGTAATAATACTCCTCTCTAGCTTTGTGGGTTGTTGAAAAGATTACTGAGATAATGTGAAGGGCTTTAGGCACTTGAAATGACTGTCTAAATGCTATGCTGTTGTTCTATAGTACAATCCCAGTAAAAATATTAGATTTCCCTCAATTTCCCATGAACTGCATCAGAAAAATTATTACCTTGTTTCCTTGACTTTGAGAGCTCCTGGCTGTTGTTAGCAGGTTCTTTATGGGAGGGAGGTGGTACCACCTCCACATAGCCCTTGGGTTATGATAGTGATGGGAGTGATGCTATATCCTTTCCACTGAAATGGCTCACTGTCCATTACTGTTCCCTTCCTGTGGCCCGACTTTGTGCAACAAAGCACCGCCATGTGCAGCTGAGGCTCTCTTCTTTGTCTTGGCCTTGCCTGTTTCCATTAAGGATGATCTTGCAAGCCTCTCTGGGCGCCCAGAACCTCCCTGCTACTGACTCCCTTCTTCACACCAGTTTCACCTATTTGAACAGTATTCTGGAATTGATCAGTCACCCTCCCAGAAAGTGACAGCTAGATGTAAAGAGAACAAGGACATTTCACTACCTGTAAATAGCAAAAAGAAGAGCTAAATATGCAACCTTGAGAGTTGATTCATAGCAGCATTTTTGGCGCAATTAACAGCTTAAGTGTTTTTAAGGCAGTACTTGATTGATCAGATGGACAGAATGCAAATGTGGCTTCCCACATTTAAACAGTATTTTCCTATAGCACCTAATGGGGCCGCGTTAAGTATTTGAAGGAAGATAATCTCAGTTACCCTGCTGCTACCCACAGACGGAACACTAATAACAGATTAATAGTAATAATTCTGTGTTTAAATCTTCAGATTATAGTGTTCATCCCATATACCAGCATTTGGTCTTTTGTGCAATTCTAAACGTTAATAATACATACTGTATGATTACATATAAACAAATGTTTTAAGAGACAATGCTGTTATCCAAATGAAAAAAATAATAATATTTGGGTTAAGAAACTGAAGGTGTAAATATTACCCCTTTTGCTCATAAATAGTATATCACAAGCCACAGGACAAACTTTGATTATATTTTATGGTTTGCCAGGAAATAGCTGAAACACAAGCCCAGCTTCAGACAACATGCTAAACCAAACCATGGCTTACCTCAGCTCAGCAGCCGAACAGCTATTTCAGAGCAAAGTGGCCTCCATTTCCTCTCTAGACGCCTGGCTTAGTGTGACATGTGAATCAGGCCATTGAGCTTTCTGTGATGCCCTTGGAAGGATACAGTGGTTTTGAATCTCAGCATTGGGCAAATTCAGCTACTGTGGATTACTCACATGTGTTCTTTAAGCAGTATAGAGGTTTCTTCATATATATCTCAAGACTGTTTAGGTGTTACTCTATGCACTTTGAAAAGCCACTGCCCGTTCGCTTTTCAGCAAACCTGCAGGTTTCATGCTATTGCCTACATGGCAGTCTTCTCTCTTTTTTAAATTCATTTTTAGGACTTGTGTGCACTGTGTTGATAAAACTACAGCATATGTCAGCAAAAAATGCATATTTATTTCAGGGAGAGAGTATTTGTGAGGGATTTGGTACTGAAGGAGCCTGCAAGTATAGAGTGGCGAGTTTATGCTTGAGATTGATATGCACATATCCAAATATTCCAATATTAAGGTCAGTAGCAGTCATTCTGGAACTGAAGCCAAAGCAGCTATTATTTTAGAAGTGTTGTGGACTTCTAACCCTAGTCAAATTTACAGCATGAAGGAAGGCCTGTGTATCATGTTCAGCTAAAGATATTTGAAGCAGAAAAAAATTGGGATGAGTAACTTGAGAAAATTTTATAAGTAGCACAGCAACAGCACAGTACAAGGCCTGAGCCTTTGTAAGACAGGTAGGCTTGACCTTTGAAATGGAAATTGCAAAGCCAGTGGCTTTGCTAAATAAGGAAATTAATGGGTTTAGAGTAATTGGAAACTACATGATTATCTGTATTATGACCACTTAAATCTCATTTGGATAATTAGACCCACATATATTATAACTTTGTGGTTAATGGGAATAAAAAGGCTTTTAATATATGGCAAAAGTAGACATTCTCACACCCTACAGAAGCCTAATTTTGGTTATATCCTTTTCTTTGTAACTCTTAGGAAATAATATGTAACCTCTATAACTGATGCTTTTAAAAGGTTACACTATTTCAATTATTATCTGATTGAACATTTTTTCTCTTTAAATTATTTTTACTCTGAGCATTCCTTATAAGTTATGTATCTGTTTTTCAAATTTGATTATACCTTTTTATCTTAGTAAAACTATTTTAGGTGTCATCTAAGACTGTGTATCTTGACCTGAGATATGTGACTGAGAGGCAATCCAGGGGGAAATATAAATTAGACCCAGACATAGTGATTTCTGGGCTTAGGAACAATTTATTTCACATGCAAATATTTCTCTAGGGTACATGGGTTTGCTCATTTCTTGGTTTAGTAACTCTGTCCTTCATTACTTGCTTGAGTCATTACTTAAACTCTTTCCTTGTTGAATTTCACACTAAAAAATAGAAGTAGTCAAAGTTGGCCTTATATTGGTCTTTGAATTATTGTGGAGGACCTTGAGCTTCTTGTTTGTTGGGCATTGTAAGTTCAGTGCTGAGATCATGGGAATGCGTAACTGAGTTTGAGACTGGGGAATTATTTTATTTATTCTGTTTTTAAAAGTACCGTATTTTTCGCTCTATAGGACACACTTTTTCCCCTCTAAAAATTAAGGGGAAATGTGTGTGCGTCCTATGGAGCGAATGCAGGCTCCTTGGCTTCAGCGATAGCAGCGCGAAGCCTCCGAAGCGCAAAGGGAGCGCTCCCTCCGCGCTCCAGAGGCTTTGTGTTGCTTTTGCTGAAGCCTGGAGAGCGAGAGGGTTCGGTGCGCACCGACCCCTCTCGCTCTCCAGGCTTCAGGGATAGCCGCCTGAAGCCTTTGGAGCACAGCGGGACCTCGCGCTGCACTCCGAAGGCTTCGGGTTCCTTTTGCTGAAGCCGGAAGAGCAAGACTCTCCCGGCTTCAGCAGAGAGGGAGAGCTACGCAGCGCCCCTTCAGCGAAGCGGGAGGAGAAATGGAACGGGCTCCGTTTCTCCTGCCGCTTCGCTGAAGGGGCACTGAGCAGAGAGGGGGAGATTTTTTTTTTCTTGTTCTCCACCTCTAAAACAAGGTGTGTCCTATGGTCGGTTGCGTCCTATAAAGCGAAAAATACGGTATGTACCACTCATGTAAAATATTGAGGCAGTGTACAACACAAAATGGGACGCAGGTGGCGCTGTGGTTTAAACCATAGAGCCTAGGACTTGCCGATCAGAAGGTCGGCGGTTCGAATCCCCCGCAACGGGGTGAGCTCCCGTTGCTCGGTCCCTGCTCCTGCCAACCTAGCAGTTTGAAAGCACGTCAAAGTGCAAGTAGGTAAATAGGTAAATGGCATTGCCGTGTGCTGCTCTGGTTCGCCAGAAGCGGCTTAGTCATGCTGGCCACATGACCTGGAAGCTGTACTCCGGCTTCCTTGGCCAGTAAAGCGAGATGAGCGCCACAACCCCAGAGTCGGCCACGACCGGACCTAATGGTCAGGGGTCCCTTTACCTTTACCTTACAACACAAAATATTCTAAAAAACAGAAAAAACCACAAGATCATTGCAGAATTCTCTAGCTTATTTCCTCCCAGGATCCTTTGGATTATTTTTGGGATATAGCAAATAGATCTCAGGCAGATGGCTGATGATACTGATCTGTGACCATGAAAGTGAAGAAGATACAGATTCTCAGTATTTATACCAGGCCAATCCAAACCAGATGCTTCAGATTACTTGACAGTTGCAGGGACAAATCTTAATGTTTCCTTTGGTCCCTGGAGGAGATTTGAGAACTGAGTGCCCACAGTCTCATTTCCTCACCAGACTAGGTCTCAATCTCAGTCTTTGAGGTTCTTGGTGTCAAAACCAAATACCTGCTAGGAATAATTGGGGCATAAGTTAAAACCTCACATTCTACCCAAATGCAGCAAGGTTTTGTTGCCTTTCTTTAATGTTCTTAAAATGTAATATTCTGTTTGGCCTCTATCCCTGTCACCCTGTCCAAAAGTGTAGATATGCAATCTTCACTTCCAGTTTCGGGGATTGGTTGTATGGAGACTGGGAAGCCATGAAAATTAAAGACTCAGATCATCGTTTGTACACCCACCCATTGCAAAGTGGCAGGAGGGACCAAAAGCGTTATCAGGGTACAGGACACTTTCCTACTAAGCAGAGCTGATGGTACCTTGCAGTGTACAATTTGGCAGCGGAAATGGTTATGACAAAAGAGAGGGGAGGTTTATGAGAGGCATGGATAATGCTGGGGGGATTACATTTTTTGAAGCGCTTCACTTCTTGTCCATTGACAGACAAGAGTGTCCTGATAGAAAATATCCCTATTGCATCCCACAGAAGCCTCTTCACTGAAGTCCTTTTTATAGCTTGTATTATGTCGCTTACTTGCTGCTTTCTACCACCTGCCAGCTTAGCACCTGCTCCGTTCTGATGTCATGCATCTGAACAATGTGTCCTTCCCAGCTGAGTGTCGATTATGACGGCCTCTGTGTTTACACGGTTAGCGCTCTTCAACTACATTGTCGGTGATCTTGTCCTGCCACCTAATACAAAATAAATAAGGCAGGTGTCTTTAATGAAAACTCTTCAGCTGTCTAATAGGTCTCTGAGTGCTTATGCTTCCAGTTGATAGATTGGGTTTAAAACAAAAACGAAGAACGATGGTGGCCTTCATCTTCCCTGCGAAGCTTAATGACCTGTTTTTGTTAGTTCAACTAAAAAGCACTTTTGCTGTTTACGTGAGGATGGTTGTCTCAACAAACATTTTGAGGTTGTAAATCCAAAGGGGTGGAGAAAATTGGGGAACTTCACATTTGGAACAAATAAATGATTCTGATTCAAAGGAGAGCATAGCTTTGAATATTGTGAATGTGTCTGGAGGGAGAAGAGGGAAGGTGTTGTAAATATAAATTTTCTGTCACTGGTTTCTGTGATCTCACATAGAATAAATTGGCAAAATGAGCCTCTCAGTTCAGTAACACAGCCTAATTTATGTAAATTCTCTTCAGAATAGGCATTAACCTTGATCCTTACTTCCTCTGTTCTGCTTTAAATCTTGCCTTTGATACAGTAATTGTAATAAAAACAGAATATTCCATGATTAATTGCCTTTTCCCTTACTCACTTTCATTTCTCTTTCCAATATATTGAGAAACGTGTTATTGATATCCCTCCACCACAGCATTTGGCAATCATTAAGCAGTGGTATTTGTTTAACAAAATTTATGTGACTTTAAAATAGACAGAATAGACCGAGTATTTAGTTTTTAAGCTTCAAAAATCGGCTAGAACACAATAAAAATGTATTAAAATGCCATAAAATACTCATTCCCAGCCAAGTTGTACCATAGAATCAGCAAGATAAATTCCATAATGACCTATTATACTCTCTAATTCACATGGATATTTGGTGTTGCTAATGCATAAGAGGTAGTGCAGGGTAATCTTGTTAACCATGCCCCATGATAAATCAGAAATATACTGAGAGAGAGAGAGACTGAGAGACACACACATAAATTTCAGAATTATGTTCGTTTGGAGAAAAGGTGTGTTGTGATTGTGAAATTTGTTTTTGTTTTGACCCCCTTACATATGGAGAGACGCTAAGCAAGATGAGATGCTGACAGTGTTTTAGAAAGGGCTGCTTGTTACTGGACAGAACAGTGTCCTTCCACAATAGCAAAAGTAAATATCTTTGATAGTCATAAATATTCAAAACTAGATTGCTTGAACATGCTTCAAAGATCAAGTAACTGGAAGACATAATAAACAGAAGTACTAAATAAATGGCCCCGGAAATGACCGTGTTGAGACAACAGGGGTCAGTGTCTTCTGTGATGTCGTGACCAGAGCCTGAGTCAGAAACTAAACTCTAAATGCAATGTTTATGCAACTCAAGAATCGGTTTTTTAGCTGCTGACCCTTTCTCTTTTGTGGTTTTGCACTGATTTCATGGAATTGTGATTTTATATATTGTAAGTATCTTTGACTAGAGGTTTGGAATATAAATGCTCTAAATAAACAAAGAAACAAATAAATTATTGACTATATCTGTTTACATAAAAGGCAGGCTTTAGCTTGTGTGATAAAGGGTCTGTATTTCAGTTTGATATCGTAAGTGCGGGTTTAGCCTTTTCTTGAATTTATATCTGCTGTAACATAATTATAAATAAAAAGGGGCATATGTTAAACAGCTCTCGATTCAAATTTTAAACATCTGATTTATTAAAATGATCCTTAACCACTGCTGAAATTGCTGTACTTGCACAGAAGTGCTCACTTTCAAGACATATGAGGAAGAACTGACGTTTGTCAACCTTGATGGTTATTGTTGGGAACCTGAGAGATGTGTTCCTTCCCCCACTGACTTTAATTTTGCTAGTGTGAGGAAGGGAATTCAATAGTGAGAGGGAAATGTGCAGAAAGTGTGTGCTGTGCTGAAAGCTACCATTTATAGAAAAATATTAAAAGCAAAGATAGTAAGGTTTTAACTATTGTTGTTGGTAGCATTGTAAACAGGATGGGATTCAATATATGTGTACAGCTAACCTCTTATTTGTGTGACTGCTTATTTTACAATAACCTAGGCTTTTTGTGGGGCTTGCTTTGATAGTCTTGGAAGCTTCATCTTTATGTGTTTTGTAGTATAAAAGGTAAAAGTAAAGGGACCCCTGACCATCCTACTTGCACTTTGACGTGCTTTTGAACTGCTAGGTTGGCAGGAGCAGGGACTGAGCAACGGGAGCTCACCCCGCCGCACGGATTCAAACTGCCGAGCTTCTGATCGGCAAGTCCTAAGCTCTGTAGTTTAACCCACAGCGCCACCCACATCCAGTATATATTAGTTCCAGGGATGGTAGCTCAGTGGCATGCATAAGTTCTCCGATTCAATCGCTGGCATCTCCAGTTAAAAGGATCAGATAGCAGTTGGTGGGAGAAATCTCTGCCTGAAACTCTGGAGAATTGCTTCCAGTCAAAGCAGACAGTACTGGGTTACATGGACAAAGTTTGATCTGGTATAAGGCAGCTTCCTATATCCTCCATATATTCAGTACCACATTTCTAGTGAATGATAAGATCCAACAGTCCAAAGGTGAATCAACTTGTCTGACAATTGGAGGGTACCTAAAATCTCTTCCTCATAACAAATGACAGATATTGAGACAGGTGCTCCTTCACAGACCTCAAGTGACAATGTTGCTTCTAGAGGTACGCTCCCAACCTGTATATTTTCATTCTTAATGGGAACTAACTACCCACGATCTGAATATCTTAAATAGAACCACATAACTCATCATTCTCCAAACATATTTATAAAAGCATTGATTTAACACCATAAGTGTTCTTTTCCTGTTTCTTCAGAAAAAAATGAGATATGCAAAGAATTGCTATATAAATATAGCAGTTTTCTGCTTGGTTTTTTAAAATAGTATAATTGTTAAAATAAAAAAAGGGGGAAATATTGGAAGTTTCAGACAAAACTCATTGCTTTTTGGAGTGTCTCTTTAAAACTCAGAAGTGTCCAAATTAAACAAATTCTTGTTTTTCTGCATGTCTTGTGCACAAACAAAGCGTTTACAGGTGTCTGAAGAATGACTGCCAGGGAATGTGTCCCATATAGCATTCAAGATTTAAATGTGAATTGGTTGCTGCTCTGCAACACAATCTTTTCAGATGTGCCCACATGTTGACTATTTTATAGTCAGCAAGTATATAAGTAGATATAAGCACAGCTGGATTCCAGGCCTATAATAAACTGCTAGACTGAAGTTTCAGTGAATATTCATATGTATTTCTACTTTATTGTTCCATACTTTATATTCTTTGCATGAATTTTGCCTTAGTTACATGGTGGGGAAAATAACCACATTACTACATCCGGAAGTGCAAATTAAAATAGCATCAAGCAACCTTGTGATTGAGCAAGGAGGAGGGAGAAAGCTTTGCAATAAGTGTTTCAGGGCTATATTCCTGAAAGACATAGTTTACTAAGGCCATGCTTCTTTTTCTTTTGCTATTTTTGTTCTGCTAGCCATTATGAACATTTCACATGTTCTACAGAAGCGCTCAGGAAAGAGAACATGAACAAAGTACCGTATTTTTCGCTCTATTGGACGCAGTTTTCCCCCTCCAAAAATTGAGGGGAAATGTGTGTGCGTCCTATGGAGCGAATGCAGGCTTGTGCCATAGCTGCGCGCAACCCCTCCGGCAGGGAGAGGCTGAACAGGGCTATGGCTTCTTTAGCCCCACGCAGCCTCTCCCGGGAGGGGCTAAAGGGGAAGCCAAAACAGCGAGCGGGATCCATCCCGTTTGCTGCCTTGGCTTGCTCCATAGCTGCGCGCAACCCCTCCGGCAAGGAGAGGCTGCACGGGGCTAAAGAGGAAGCCAAAACAGCGAGCGGTATCCATCCGGCAAGGAGAGGTTGTGCGCAGCCTGTACGCTGCTCTTTAGGGCTGGGGGGGGGATTTTTTTTCTTGATTTCCCCCCCTAAAAACTGGGTGCGCCCTATGGTGCGAAAAATACGGTACTTATCTCATTTAATCCCCCCCCCCTTTGTGCATGTGGGGATTTGAGTCATAATTGGAATGTCAGTGCAGTGGAGAGAGTGGACGACTGCAGCTTCGGGGGTGAAGTGTTGGAGAGTTACAACGCCTGTTGTAGCTGAGAGACCAATACGTGAGAGACATGTTTTGTTACAGCTAGGACAGATAAACGTGTCCTGTAATGCTCATGCAGGTATACCATGGAGTTTGTTCTTTCTGCACTCCTCCCAGCTGTCATTCCTCCTCTGGTAACTGACTCGTGTGAGTGAAAAGCTACATAGAAATTGAATGAATGAATGACTCCCTCCAGACACGGTGGTCATCTGCAAGGGATTTCCACGTGGCGGGATTAATGTCACACTTGCAGACATCTTTGTAAGGCACGGTTGGTCTGGAAATAAGGGGTAAAGTCACAAACTCAGTTTGTATGGTGCTTTGCAGAAGTTAGTGGGCATGGCATATGAAGATCAAGTCAATTGAGAAATACAGGAAACGGATGCCTATGGTAGAATTTTAGGAGAGATTTATTGATTTGTTGACATTTAAGATGGAGAAATGCAAAGGTGTAATGTATGCTAGACTTGATGAGCATTTGTAATGTATTCTTTTTGAAGGGGAATGTGTTCTAAACAGATGGAATCCCAACAAACCAAGTAGCACCTGAAGAATAGCAACTGTTGAATGAAGTGCTGGTCGAGTTTCATCCCTCTATGTGATAGTAATAACCTGCTTTTGCCAATAAAATAAAATAAAATGGAATGGTGGACAACTGATAGCAGATTGCTTTTCAACAGGCTTTCATTTGAGAGGCTATTCTCAATTGTCTTCCAATTATGTGCTGTGTTTGTGTATTTAAGGAGATGAGGAGGTTAAACTGCTATTAATATTTCATGGCTAATTAGTACAAGCGGGACCAAGAGCTTTACATCACGGAAGGTGGTTATTACTTTAGAAGTGGTTGCTATTAATGTGAACCCCCTGCAGAATACATGTGCACCTTAAGAAATGTCTGGTTCCTACACCCCTTGCTCGTGCTGATTGTAACAAGGTTGGCTCACCAAGTCAGTTTTTTCCAGTTTTAAGGAAAAACACCACATGCAGGTATCACTTCCCTAGGGTTTAGGATGGCACAAACTTCATTAAAATATATAGTCTCAGGCTTGTGGACATTTGGCCTTGACAGAACTTGCATCTTCCAGCATCTTCTTGGTTGTCCGACTTCTGTCATAATCTGAACTTCATTTTGGTCAATCTACTTTACACAATGTCTTTCTGCTTCTCTCTGATAAAAAATAATTATTTAATGAGAATTATGCCCAAGTATATCTCTTTGTACCCAGGAGACTCCCTTGAAAAGGAATTTCATGCCCAGATTGGCAAGTGAAACACAAAATCTTAGTTCAGAGTCCCAACCATGTTCCAGGCCTTAAAGCATTTATTTGCTCTTGCCTTGTGTGTGTTTCAGGGCCAAACAATTTTGTGGTGGTTGCTGATGAAGAATAGTCCTTGCCAGCATATTTAAAACACTCTGCAAGTTTGGCTGGAGTGCTTTTCTTCCTATACACGGGAGTAAAATGAAGAGGTAAAAAGTTTTTGTTCGTTTTGAACGCCCTCCCATTAGATGTCAAGGAAATAAGCAACTATCCTATTTTTAAAAGACATCTGAAGGCAGCCCTGTTTAGGGAAGTTTTTAATATTTAATGCTGTATTGTTTTTAATACTCGTTTGAGAGCTGCCCAGAGTGGCTGGGGAAACTCAGCCAGATGGGCGGGGTATAAATAATAAATTATTATTATTATTATTATTATTATTATTATTATGCATTATAAAGTAATGAAAGCTGTATACATTAAGCATGAAGGGTAAGCAGTGCTAGCAGATGGAATAGACCAGACACAGTAGAGATGTAGGTTCCCACACACTAGGGAAGTACACACAGTAATCCTTGTCTTGGAGCTCTTTGTGGATGAAGCCAGGTAGCTTTAGGAGACTAATGCACCAAGAACTACTGCTGCATGCTACCTACACACATTTCAGTGAGAGTTGTCCAGAATTGGACCTTAATTCTCATAATATGTAACCTATGATAACTCGTGTCAAAATGTTAGGTGCCTACAGGACTCCTGATGTTTTGGATGCAACATGCTAATTATCTGGAATTCAGTTTAATTATGTGTCTCTGGCTTCTACAGCTCTGCCTATCTCCATAGAAACGTGCACTTTAACAAGTCATATTGGGAATTCTGATGGTTTTGTAATGGTTTGATATAATGCTTCTTCTAGGATTTGGGAGGTCTTAACGAATGCCATAAGCAAATGAACTTTGGTGGGTGCCTCCTTTAAAAAAAACAACTCTAGGAAAAATGTTTTCTCCTTCAGTTTCTCTTCTATTTCCCATGCATGTAAACAGCATCTTTTAAAATATGATTTTCCTTAAGAACTGGGTGGATCATTGCCATTTTGCAGTCTGACCTGCAGTTGACCAACCCAAGCAAACTTTGGCTAAGCTGCACTTCAACCAGCAATTTAATTCTCCAGTTGTCTGTCTGGATCACATTGGTTCTTAATTTCTTCCTCTTTGTTTCTTTTTGGGATAGTCATACATACTGTATTTTTTGCTCTATAGGACGCACTTTTTCCCCTCCAAAAATTAAGGGGAAATGTGTGTGCGTCCTATGGAGTGAATGCAGGCTCCTTGGCTTCAGCGATAGCAACGCAAAGCCTCCGGAGGCTTCGCGTTGCTTTCGCTGAAGCCTCCGGAGCGCAGTGGGAGGTCCCACTGTGCCCTGGAGGCTTCTGGTTCCTTTTGCTGAAGCCAGAGAGTGAGAGCTGCGCAGTGCCCCTTCAGCGAAGCGGGAGGAGAAATGGAAGGGGCTGCTTCGCTGAAGGGGCGCTGAGCAGAGAGGGGGAGAATATTTTTTCTTGTTCTCCCCCTCTAAAACAAGCTGTGTCCTATGGTCAGGTGCATCCTATGGAGCGAAAAATACGGTACATAACTAACTAACTTATGTACACATAATCTAATGTATATGTACAGATAATCAGTGTATGCTGATCAATAGGAAAACATTAGGGATGCTGTATGATCAAAAACATTTTTCCTATTTTTAATTTGTTTTGGAAATATTGAGAGAGGAAATAGCACATGGTCGTTCTTTCTATGTTGAAGTGTCACATTTTAAACAAAGATCCCACACGTTGTGTGTGTGTCTTCCTGTGATAAAGCATTTTAAAAATCTATATTTCAAAACACATAAGCAGCCAGCTCTTGTTGGTGTGTGGGTGGTATTGGGTAATTAGGCCTTGTTAATATCTTGCTTCCCTGTTCCAGATTGGATCAATACCCTTTCAACATTTAATTATCATACATTTAAAATAGACAGCAATTAACACATGCTTCTAACACCATTTAGGAAATGAAAGTTGTATACGCTAAGCATATTTTTGCACAAATGTAATTTTGTTTAGAAGTGTGCTGATGAAGACCTAATATTGAGAAGCATATCCAGTTTTCTATAGTCTTCTAATGATGTCAATATGTCTGTGCTTTAAAGAATGTATGTGGTATAATTACTAGGGGATGCATCATTGCATTCAGTTAGAGGCTAGGTGAAAATTCTAAAATAAACCATTTCCTGAAATTGAACTTAAAAGGACTCTGCTCCACTTAAGAGTAAAACTCTAAAGTTTAAACATGTATAGCTATTCATGATGGCATGTTACATCTAATATTTGAATCAAAGAGGGATATGTAGCTTTTCTCGTCCTTCCATATTGGAAGCTAAACATGCCAAAATGTGTCACCCTAGTGTGCAGAAGCCATTTCAAATCCAACGGCAATTTCCACAACAGTGGTTGCTTTTTCCAGCCTCCATAAATAGTGGAATCCCAATACTACCTTGATATATGTAAAGGTAAAGGGACCCCTGATCATTAGGTCCAGTCGTGGCCGATTCTGGGGTTGCGGCACTCATCTCTCTTTATTTGCCGAAGGAGCCGGCGTACAGCTTCCGGGTCATGTGGCCAGCATGACTAAGCCGCTTCTGGCGAACCAGAGCAGCGCACAGAAACGCCATTCACCTTCCCACCAGAGCGGTACCTATTTATCTACTTGCACTTTGACGTGCTTTTGAACTGCTAGGTTGGCAGGATCAGGGACCGAGCAACGGGAGCTCACCCCGTTGCGGGGATTTGAACCGCCGACCTTCTGATCGGCAAGTCCTAGGCGCTGTGGTTTAACCCACAGCGCCACCCGCGTCCCTGTCTCATTAAAGCCAATAGTCTCATTAAAGCCAATATGTTATGCTGTCATGCATTCTCATTCACAACTGCATAGTGACAGGTACGTAGGCTTGCATGTGTAAGCTGCCTGTCATTGGTGAATGACAGATGGATTGGGGAGCCTATATAGCCCCTCAGATGTTGGGCTTCTAACTTCCATCAGCCTCATCTCACGGTCAAGGATGATGGGAAGTTTAGTCTAAGCAACATCTTCAGGGCCACGGTTTCCCACACCTGCACTAAGGTATCTAGACATCAAGTTCTGTAGCGTTAAAGACATTGGCACAGAAAAAATGTGTAAGCCCCAATAACTGGATTCTAGAAACAGTTAAGCATTAACATTACTAAAGCTAAGAGATGTGGATCTGTAATCTGGATGTGAGACCACTGGGAACTGTACATAAGAGCAGAATATGAATAAAATAAATATTAAACAACAAATCTAAAAGAAATATATAAGCCTCATATGAATCAGTGAGAATATATAAGCAGGTGCAGAATATGAATCTCGATGAGTTAATGTTAACTATCTGAAAATGTTATGAAAATTGGGCTTTCCTCTCAATTTCCAGTGTCTGAAGATATAATGTGGAAAGGAAAGGTTTCATTAATAAGTGAAAAAGGAGATGATATTTATGATTTTTAAAATGACAAAGTTTAGTACTGTTTCCATAATGGTGATACTTTAGAGAGAGAGAAAATGAAGACTAGTAGTAGGGGATAGTGGAAGACAATTGATAACTTTACAAATTAGTAATTCATAAAAATCAGGCAAAACACTAGTGGAGGTTTGGTTAAACTTTAACAGATTGAGTCAGTCTGACATCTTAGACCCTGAACCGGTAAATGAAATATTCTTTGTACATTGTGGGTGAAGTATGACCTCTGTTGGTCTCATAAAAAGCAGCCATTTTCATTTGAAGCCTATTTTATACTGAGAACTCAGCGTGCTTTCAGTCCAGTTCTTAAGCCCACCTATTGGCTAGTAATGGGGATGAATATTGTTTACCACACTTTTTAATGAATAATACAATTACTGGAAAATGTGTGTGTGTGTGTGTGTGTGTGTGTCCCTTTTGTATGCCTGTGTGAGAATAACAAATTACCTGAAACAATCTTCATGGATTCCCAAGTTCTTTCTCTGTATGGTTCTTGAAGCTTCAGATAGTTGTTTTTTGTTGCTTTTTTCTCATGTCTTGCCCTTTGACAGTGTGTTGTCAGAGGACTAGAGTAGGGCATATTACTGTTGGATTTTCAGAGCATCTTATATCGCTGTTATGGCCAAATTATTTCTAGAGTCATAGTTGACAGATTGATGGCACGTACACAACTTTTTTATTTTATTTAGTTTCAAGTAGCTAAGCCTGAGTTTCAGGGTCTGGGTAGAGGTACTTTCCGGTACTCTGGGGATGGTGCTGTGTATTAAATGACATACCAGTACTTTCTTTCCTCTCCTCTTGCCTCCTCGAATGCACCTCTAAGCAGAGAGGAATCTACATTTCATTGAGATGTTTCCTTCCTTTGCAGTTATTTGTTCCACAGCTGCCACATGGCTTAGATGCCATCAACTGGAAATGGGGAGGTACCTGCAAGGGAGGTACCTTTCCAGTACCCACACGCTCTCTGTGACACATCTTGCACTTGACAGAATATTTTGCAGTCCTCATTAAAGTTGTGTGTGTTATCAGATTTATCAGTGCGATTCTACATATGTCTACTCAGAAGGAAGCATTTTCAACAGATAGAATATAGGTATAGCACGCATGTCCAACTTCCAAGATACTGTGATCTACCTCACGGTATAAAAATATCGGCTGTGATCTACCCATTATCATTGCCAGGAATTGTTAAGCTTGGGGGGGGGGGGTTTGACCAAAGTTGTTGAGCTTTTTTGGGAGGGAACACAAAGGTGATCACTAACTTGCTACCATGATTGACCTGAGGTATAGGATAGGATTGCAGCCTTGTATTTAAGTATTAAGGGGTTTGGATTACTAAGAACTCAAGATTCCAAGTAATCTTTAAGTGTTGCTTTACTGACAGATCTTAGCTTTTTATATAAGGTATTTTCTTACCTGTTCCATATTTCTTAATCCATGGGATGCCTCACCAGTGATTGTGAGAAAAACTATATATTTTAAAAAACACATTTTTGTTTTTAGAGAAACAGTCAGTACCACCCCCGCCCCAGCATAGGTTAGCTTTGCTCCTCTCTGCATAAGTGGATTTTTATGCCAACATAATTTGTGCAAGCATCATTGAATTTAATTCCAAGAGGCTAGTTCTACACATTCTGTCTGAAATGTGTTTTCAAAATGACATCTGGTTTTCAAAGTGCTTTTTGCTACATATTAGTGGTTTTAACATCTGTATGAACTTAAGTACCAGCAGCAGTGGGTTTTGTACAAATGCAGCCAAAAGACTAATTTTGCACTGCTTTTTAAAGAGCAATAAAAGCTGAACATAGATGACACTGCAAACAATTGAGAGTTTTAAGATAGTGTAGAATGACTGAAAACACTGAAGACGTGGTATTCACAGTAGAGTATGCTTTGGTATGTCTTGGGGGCTCAGAATCATGTTGTAATTAAGTCTAAAAAGATGTTTTTAACCTTTGGAATTAGACAAGTGCATAATAGGACGGTTAGAGATACGCCTAAGAAATTTTAAAACTTCAGGTTGAATCAACTATTATTTCATGCTGTTACTGTATTTTTCCCAATGATGTTCAGTCTGTGTCTTCCCCTGTGGCATATGCTTTCATTCACTTCCTTTCATCAAATGGAGTTACATGCTCTTTAGGCAACTGAAGTACAGTACACCTGATTTGCTTCTGCTTTCTGCCTGTTTCATGTCTGTTCTGGGGTTTGTGGGCTGCTCCATAAGAGATCTTGTGACAGTGATTATTGGTCTTCAACTGGTGGGTCTCAGTCTGATCCAAAGTGTTGTGGCCTGATCCAAGGTGGGTTGCAACAGGAGCCCTACCACTGTGCAAATATATGGTAAATGATTAAGAAATGAGTCCCCAAATATATGTTTGGGTTAAAAGTGAGTTCTGGGTCTGAAAACGTTGGAGATACCTGCCTTAAATAACCACACAACTTTTCTGTTGTTTGTATTTTATTATAGAATATCAGACAGTTGCTCTGTGCTTGTAACTCTGTACCTTATTTATAGGTCTCCCAATGCCATTCTTCACTTAAGTTATGTATAGCTCTCCTGTCAGTCAGCCAGCTCCCTCTTCTCTTTTATCTTTTTGAAAAAAGCAATAATCTGTGATGTATTTATTTGTTTTCCCAGGATTCAAATGTGGCAGATAAAGGAATGATATATTAAAGAACTAAAAGTATGTGTGAACATAAGAGAATGTAAAATATAGAGCATAGGAGTTTTGTAATATCAACCCTGGTTCATGTCCATACTTTCGTTGTATCAGTATTTAACCGTGGCTGTATGCAGATTTCATACCAAGCCATGGTTTAGAGCTGCTTGTCTCAATTTGTTTTTCCATCTGTTCAGCACCCAGCTTCATAACCCCACTCCTGTCTCTTGAGAATGAGCAAGTCTTATCTCTATAGTACCATCTTTTGTAACAGACCACCAGCAGTAACTGTAGTTTGTGCTTTGAGATACAACAGCAAACTACAGCTAGCACAAACAATTGTTTGATTTCCTTCTCTGGAAGCCCCTTGCAAAGTTTATGTGATGACTTAGGTCTGGTTTGGACAGTTTTTGCCCATTCTCAGTCTTCGTGCTGCTCCTTCTGTCCTCCCTTCATACACTGTAATAAGCCAACAAATCTTCCATTGATCATAGTTTCTAGTTAGGTCAAAACTAGGAAACCATGGTTACTAGATGTGAACAAGCCAGGAGCTTAAACAACATTCTCTGTATTTTAATCAGTGCATACCCAAATTTGTTTATCTGTATTTGTTTGTTAGATACGAAACCAGGCCTTCTCAGCTGTTCACTCTTTTATGCTCGCCAAGTAATGTTGGATTTTCAGGCTGGCAATGAACACGAAGCACCTCTGCCTATAATTTTTCTTCCACAGTGGTTATTTGACTGGATTACATTTCCAATTGAAAACTCTACAGCCATTTACTGTGCAAGCCAGTGCCTCTTCTTTCATTAGTAGTCCCAACACTATTTTCTTTCCCTCCTTAAGCCATGTTTCTCATACTTGCATTTCATGAATGAGAAATCTCTATATATTAAGTATATAATATTCTAGTCATTTGCTGCTTAAAGATTCTTTATTTTAAACATATATATATATATATATATATATATATATCTAAGGTTATACCATTTTAAAGCTATTTTCAAGTCTGTCCTTGTAGATAGATGTGTGTTATGGTATACAGTGACAATGAAATACTGTGAGTATAGTATATGACACAAAGGAAAAACAGCTCTGTAACAATTGAGACTTTGGGAGTTTATTTCCCCTACCAACGGGCACAGTTAGTTTGACATTGCATTTATCATTTTCCTAATGTAGTGCAATGTTTTTTCTCTGAGCCAAGTCATTTCCTCTTGAATTTTGAGATAGATTTCCCCCAGAGATTAGTTCCCCAGTCTTCAGATGGGATTCCGATCTACCCAACTTTGGGCGCAAGGAGCAGAGCTGAAGGAACATGGCTGCTGATAATACCACATACTAATTTTATGCAGTATTTTAGCTACTGAGGGCATGTTCAATTGCTCATTCCAGGACTATATCCATAGTGAGTTTGGGTTTTAACCGCAGCCTCACGTTCCCCCTTTTTCTTACCCTTCTCCCTTATTGTGGGTAGAATGTCACAGGTGAAGCTTGAGATTTTGTGTTGATTTGACAGCACATGATTACTTAATGCATCCTGAGCATAATCCTTTGGGTAAGCTTGGACTATGATAAATCTTCAGCATGGTAAACAGATATGGCATTAATTGGGATGTGTTATTTTTTTTCTATCTTTCACAGAAGTTCCATCCATTACAGCAAATGATAAAGAAACCTACCAGTTTTGCTCAGAAGGGGAAATACTGATTTGCTTCATTAACATGGTGGGTGGGTGGTGTATGTGTGTTTGTGTGGGGGGGGGGGAAGGGATAGGGAGAAAGAACAGGGCATGAGATACTTTTTCATGTATGAATTACCTTGAGTTTTTATTACTCCAGAATTGCGTGAATCAAACCAGGTGACTAGGGCTGCAGTTTACCCAGATAAGTAACCTTGTCTGTAAGTGATGGCCAAAGTCTTTGTATCTACTCTACCATGTTATGCTTAAAACGTTAATCAGAAATTTCATATCCAGGTTTGACACCATTTCAGATTTATAGCCATAAGATTTAGGGAGCAATTTTACAATACTGACCTTCTGTTCCATTTTACTGCATTTGGAGAAAAGAACAGGAAATTTGTCACAGTCCCCCCCCCCATTGTTGTTAACAGAGTGGCTGGCACATTTGTAATGCAACAGCAAGGTCATTTTTGAATCTGCATTCTCCATAATATTTAGATGGGTCCAACTCCAAGTCATCTAAGCTGGTGTGTTTGCTGGGAGCTTTTATGAGCCTCATGCCATTCCTGCTGTGGAATATGACCTATTTTCATCGGTAGTCGGAGAGTGTAAGAGGCCAGCTGCAAGCATACCCTGCAAAAATGATTAGCCAATAATGGTGCACTGGGGTGTAAAAGAGCAGTTGTAATAACAGATTACTCCATTATGCTTCATCGTTGGCTGAATAAGGGCCTGGGTGAATGAAGAGTAATTTTCCTCTTTAACTTTAGGGGTTCAAAATACCTTTTTTTAATAGAAAAAGTAACCCTATGAAATTTAGGAGGCATACAAGAAAATTTCTGTAGTAAAAGTAATTTCTGAAAAGCAGTCTGGGCCCATTTCTGTCTGTTTTCCTTTTCTAAAGCGCTAGGCATACATCATTAGTTGTGTTCTGTGGACAATTGTTTTGTAAACTTGTAGAGATTTGTTGCTGTAAATAAGCAAAATAATTTAAAATGTGAATATCCAGACTTATAAGATTATATATAGCAAAAACCATCAGAGTACAACACATTCCCACATTAGTAAAAGCATCTTAACAGTTTAATTGGAGAACAGTATAATGCACACATACAATCACTTTGTGGAAACATCACTAAAAGGTTGAGGTGACCAAGTTGAGGTGACCTTGTACCACCTGTGTGGTAATACTGCTGTTCCCAAGCCCTATAGAACAAGCCTAGAAGAAATTAGATATATTTATATCCTGTTGACATTAGTGTTACTCAAATTAGCTGTCGCTAACTTGTCCCATTTACTCTTAAATGCAGCTAACTTTTCTTGGATTGGATAAGTCACAATTTTATTTTAGGTTGCTGCTTCTCATACTAATCTGATCTTCCTGGTGGCCTTCCCCTCCCCATCTTAAAATGTTCATCTAGGTCAGTTGTCAGACTTTGTTGAGCATGATCCACTATACGTAAATAATATGTTAATGGATAATCCATAGCACTTTAATTAAATTTGTCTTTGTAACAATGCAATCTGCACACACTGAGAGAAAACTATATTTCAGAAATGGCAGTTAATACGATATTTGTGCAAGGCGAACTGGAGTCAAGAACCATCAGTGGGTTATTTTGAAGGAATTTTCTCTGATATTTGTGGATGTGAATCTAAAAGGGGGAGTAAGCCATAGTTTCCCCCATAGCAGGTTATCCAATTCACTTCAAAGATCCATCTCCGCAACAGATTTCAGAGGAACAGGGTGGGGACTGAAGGTCTACCAGCAAAAAGTGCATGAAGGAGACAAGTCCTCTGCACATTACGGATCTAACCAAACCGTCAAGTGAACTCAGATTCCTGGTGCCCACCTCCTTCACCTCAGACATACTTTTAAAGAGTGTAGCTGCAAAACATTTAACCACTTTAGGAACATATCTTACAAAGTAGGCATCAGGCACAGTTTTGATTTAGCTTCCGTTTATTGCCTCCAAACCATTAAAAAAAAATTAAGTTCTATAAAGTTCTGTTGCAACCCACCCTGTGTCAGGGTCTGGCTGGATGACAAGGAATGGTGGGAAGTACCAGCCAGGGAAGTACCAGCTGGGGAAACCCCAGAGGAGGAAGGCTCAGAGCCGGAGGTTGGTGGTGGGACGCTGTGGAAAGGTCAGGGGAGAAGATTGGGAGGAGGTGCCGGATGCTGAAGGGGCAACAGGGTTTGGTGAGCAGGAAGATCCTTTGACACGGAGCAGTTCAGAGGATGAAGCAGAGGGTGGGGGTCAAAAGACTGCTGAAGAATCCAGGGAATCTCCCTCTCCTGCTGTAACAAGCTCCCTCCCTCCCTGGTCTCCAAGAAGGTGCAGGTTAATGAGGAGAGCGGAACAGAGGTCAGAGGTGGGCAGACACGGATTGAGAAACATCCAGGTGAAGAGGAGTCTTAGAAAGGTTGGAAGACCTTCAGTTCTGGCAACTGCTCCATAGGGGCAAGACCCACTGGGAAGTGTTGCTGAGTTGTATGCAGTTTCCTTTAATAAAAAAATTAACTGACAATGGAGCTCTGCTTCTTCGTGCTGACCTGCGTCTCATTCCAGCCTTAGGGTGAAGGCAAGCAATAAATTGTAATAATAATGCACTGTGTACATTACTCAGGCTGTGTCAGAAAATATACAATACTATACTATCATATCTAGATGGGTCATTGAGGCCAGCCTGTACAACTTGTGACCTACAAGCACAGCAGTCACATTGTGTGAGTGGCCTGGGGTCAAGAAACTACTTCTGTTTGCTGGCTGCTGGCTGCTGCCTTGGTCATAACTAGGTGGTGAATCACGTGCTTACATGTAGAAGACGGAAGGGTCAGTCCCTGGCATCCCCACTTAAAAGGGTCCAGCCAGACCTGTATGGCTGTATAACTTAAAATTTCTGTGCTTTTTGGTGCGTTTGTGGATTTGTGTGTGGCTTAATTTAACTCCTTAAAAGAAACCTCTTCTTTGATCCTGAATAATTTTCCATTAGCTGAATGAATGACTGGTTTAAAATGAGAATTTTCAAACATAATTTTAGGAATACGTAATGGGGGTTCTTCTCAAACTAAGCGAAAGGGACTCTGACAATATATTTGAATACTTGGCATTATTGACATTTCTCATTTTGGCAGTTTAGATTACAGTTTGAAGGAACACAAAAATAGCAAGAAGATACTGCCAAAAGAAGGAAGATAATGTAAAGAAATTGGCAACCTTTTATCGAATGTGGAAAAGCAAATTTCTCACTTAACTGTAAAATAAAACAAGTTGTACTTTAACATGTCTAAATGTGCTTCATTTCTGTTTTCTACAAATAAAATATGCTCAAAACAGAACAAAAGATAGGAGACATAGTTTGCACCTGAAAACAAAACTTATAGCTGCTATACTGTAGCTGTAAGTTCTTAAACAGAATTTTCTGATATCTTACTAAATTATAACACTTACCAAGTCATTTCTCCATGCCAGCTAATAGGACAAATGGTTTTGATTGGACATGATGCCTCTGTCTTGGTGTAACTTTGCCTACATCAGGCTTCCTCAACCTCGGCCCTCCAGATATTTTGAGACTACAATTCCCATCATCCCTGACCACTGGTCCTGCTAGCTAGGGATCATGGGAGTTGTAGGCTAAAAGCATCTGGAGGGCCGAGGTTGAGGAAGCCTGGCCTACATCTTACAACTAGGGAACATGTAATAACAGGCTATGGGAGAGGCAGCTTGGAGTACAGTGCTGGCTTGTGCCACAGCCAGAGCAATGGCACTCTTGCCAACAAAATCCTCCTTGTGGCATCCAAGCCATAGGATGCCCACAATGCTAGAGCAACTAGGCCTCTAGAATTTTAACTCCTTAGGGTTTTATTCAATTCTGTGTTTTATTGTTTGTTTCAGTTAATTGAGTTTTACATTTGCTGACCATCTTTGTCTCTCCAGTTTTAAAACTTGGTTTAGACCTGAGCAGGTGCTTTACTGTGTAAAACCAGCTAGCCAGTTGGAAAGGTATGTTGTTAATGTGGTGATGGCTGCCCTGATTAACGTAAACCCATTAATGTTTCTCCCCCCATTTTCTTTTTCTAGATCACTTCCCTTGTGACACTGCAGCTCCTCTCATTAGTAGGCCACGATGACCAGCTCAATGGACCAAGATACAAATGCAGTGTTTCTCTAGATTTTATCAGATCCATTTCGAGGTAAGCTGCGTTCACGGCCTTCTTATGCTACTTGAACAAATTCTCAAAATGGAAATATACATATATATATATATATATATATATATATATATATATATATATATTTCCCAGCCATTCACAGGAAAGTGCATCTTAGGATGGCTGAGAGTGAATAAAAACCGGCTGCAAAATAAGTAAATGAAAGTGATTGTAAATCTCGCAGTAAAGTGAAGTGAATCATGCACCATTTGTGTGACCTACCAAGCAAAATACAGCTCAGTAGCTGTGCCTGACATGTGCTTGGCAAAACAACAAGCAGGCCAAAGGTGTATTCCCCTCCTTAGCTCCATGACATGGCTGCCGGAATAAATTTAGCTTGGTGGGTCACACCTGCCATAGGCCAGTGACCTTGTTGTATTGCTGTAGGACTGCAACACCCACCATGCTGGCTGGGGCTGAGGGAAGTTCCGAGTCCCAACAATATTTGGAGGGCCCCAGATTCCTCATTCTTGCTCTGGAGAATCTATTCATGATTTATATTGAGTTTGCTCATTTGTTTGCATTTACACAGAGCACTGCGGTTGTAACTGATACTTTCTGTCCGGGGTGATAACCCGGAGCCCAACAATTTCTAGAGGTCACAATATCTAGTTAGCCACCTTGCTTTATGGAATGTCATAAAATAATAAGGCAGGACCGTGTCTAAAGGACATGGTAGTGTAAATTAGGTAAGGGCAATGACAGACAGAGGAAGTGAGCAGGAGAAGTAAAGGAATGAAGGTCGGCAAATGAAGTTTACATTTCTTAGGCTTCATTTCACTTACAGATACCAACTAAGGGGTTGCTAAAGCGTCCCTCCAAGCAGATGAAGCAGCTTTTCAAGGGAAATAAGTATCAAAAGGATCCCCGCCACCACCCTTGTTTGAGACAAACCACGGCCCATATTCATACAACACAACAAGACATAGCATGGCTAGTTTGAGCTGTGTGAGCACGAAAGTGGCAGGAGATAGTGAAATGATTTAGGACAAACTGGCTTACCATGATGTTCAAATGAGGATGTAGGTTTTGCAGTGATGGCAGTTACCCGTTACTTTTATTTATAAACTTAGATTTCATTTGGAGTGAAAACCTCTTTCCTCTGCGTCTGCTAATATTTTTCATGCTGTACAAAGCTTAGGAAATGTTGAGGCAGAATGTTGTTTTCCTAGCCCTTTGCTTATTTGTTGCCTGCCACAAATGATTAGTCCTTCCGCTCCATTCAAAATTAGCTTAGCTAAGAATGAGAAATTGTACATAGAAAAATCACCCGATTTATATTAGTTTAGGGTTCACCATTGTAAACCCTTTAAATGTAGACTTGACTTTGAAGAAAATAAAAGAGCAAGATTTGCATAATGTTCAATCAGAATGCTCGAATATCTACTTTCCAATATGTTTTTATTACTTCGAGAATTCATTTTTTAAAATCAAAATCCCAAAGGGTTTCAGAAACAATGTTTAAATGTCTTATCCCAAATTTAAATTACCCACAAATTGTATTTATACTGCATCTCTTGGGTACTTCATTAAGTAGGGATATCCTTGGATTGTCCTTAGTCTATGGTTGGATTTTGTTTCCTGTTTTGGAAGCAAGAGATTAAAACCATTTTGAATCACATCTTGTAAATAGGTAACAGTGGTTTTCTTTTTGCAATAGCAAAGCAGAGTGAAGCAGAAAGGCTGTCCTGTTTGGACTGAGGGAAAGGTAGTGGATGCGTAGAAAGGGTTAAAAAAAGGAGCAATGATCTGTTTATGGGAAATCATCTTATATTGAAATTACTAGTTAAGTTTCTAGATCATTGACTGTTTTCTCTTTCTCTTAGCAATGGTCAAGGGTGATGGTCTAACCACATTGGAGGGCCATAGGTTTCTCCACTGTGCCATAGAGGCTTTCTATTATTTTATCTCCTAACATACCCTTCATTCTGCTGTACCAGTTCCTTGGAAACAGAAGGGCTCCTCCAGTAGCTTATACTTTTCACTGTCTGTGGAGGGGTCAGTCCTGAATAGGTGCAGCTGTACTCTCCACTGATGTAAATTGGAAAGTGTACAACTGCTTTGTAGTAGATCCTTTAAGGCTATGTCCTGATTCAAAACTGTGACTACATGGAGAGTCGTTTTTCTTTCATTTTTTAAATGAACTTCTGGATTCTTAATCCAGAAGTTCAGTGGGGAGTTGCTTCTCTTATACAGTTAGGTTTCTCCTACACTAGTGCAAGTGACTAGCATATGAAATATCAGTTAATTGGACAAAACATCTTACGGAGTCATTATTGGTGCTAGTTAGGCCAAATGATTGATTGTGGTGTTTGTGTAGCAAGCTTAACCTTTGCCAGTAAATATAGTTTTAAGCCTCTGTAATGAAGGTCTAACATGTTAACCATGAGATGGCATTTATCTTTAAAATGTATAATGTGCTAATTAAGTGCATACCTTTTAAGTATTGTAATAGGCTAGATAATATTTGACACTTCCATGTGCTCTGTATCATACAGTACTTCCTTTGAGATGATGAATAAAGGCATGGATTTGAAAATTGTGTATGAGCTGGACCCAACTCCCTTGGCAAATAAGAGATCCAATTAGTCTTTAGAATTCCAATTTCAGTTACTTTATGCAAAACGCATTATTTCTAAAATTGTTTCATTTTTGTCATACCTTGTAATTTTTCTCATTTTTATATAAAAGGAAACCTCAGTGCAGGAATGTTAATACAATACATCAGAATGTATTTGGAAAGGAGGAAAAATGAATTCTGTGTTTTACTCCCTTGGTGTATAATTCTTTATTCTAACAAAGCACAAAAATACATTCAAATCTTCTGTCCTATTGAGTATTCTTGGATTGTTCAAGTTTAGTTAAAAAGCATGGGTCAACTACTGTCAAGAAAGAAAGAATGCAGACTGCAAATTAGTACAGATGAAGGAGTTATGCCATACATAATGCTGAAACAGGTGGTTTGGACGAATAACAGAATGTTCAATAGCAGAGAAGATTGCCGCTTTGCATTTCCAAGCAGTGTGCCATGTTTACTAGAGTTGGTTTTTAATTTTTTTAAAAAACCTCTCTTTTATTCTTGAGCTAAATTTGTTTTACAGCTTCAGTGCTGAGAATGAGCAACTTTAAATGTTTGATAGTCTTTGAAAGCTGTGTAACGAGACGACTCAGGTGCATTCATTCATTCATCTGGGCCAATGGTGTAGCAGCTGGGGCAAGTAGCTGCTGTAAACCACCAAAACAACATACAATCAAACCTTGGTTGTCGAACGTAATCCTTTCTAGGAGGCCATTCAGCTTCCGAAACATTCAACAACCAAGGCGCGGCTTCTGATTGGTTGCAAGAGCTTCCTGCGCTCAAGCGGAAGCCTCATCAGATGTTCGGCTTCCGAAAAACATTCAAAAACTGGAGCATTTACCAGAGCATTTTTGGAGCCATTCGGGAACCGAGGTTTGACTGTATATGATCTGGATGCATCACATAGAGGCTCAGATGCAGAGAACCCTAATTTGTGCATTCCTTCCCCCTTCCTCCTTTCGTCCTCTTCTCTCTCCCTCCACCCTCAAAGCATACAATCAAGATTACAATAAAAGCAGCATGGCAGCAGCTGTTCATTAAAAGCAGTCAGTTCCCAAAAAATTGTTGGAACAAGAAGGTCCTCACCTGCTGGTGGAATGACGGCAAGCAACCAGTTCCTCCACTGTAGAAAAAGCAATGCTAGAAAGAAAGTCTGTGAGCCTCGACCTCAGTGTTCCAACCTTTAATATTTTAGAACTAGGCCTTGTTACATTCAGAATTCAAACTTCGCAATCTTACTACCATGGAGGTCTCAGTTCAAAGGTGCACCAGGTGACTTGGCCATTCCCAAAGAGGAGTAGAGATTTAAGTAAACTGACATACTATGTTGTTTTACAGGACTGTGAACTTTGACATCATAAAGTACTTGTATGACTTCCTGTGAAGACCATCTGGACGCTGGGATGACAACTAAGGCAATTGGTGTTCCTCTATCTACTTTAGCCATCCAGCGAGAGGAGACTTTGGGCTCTATTGGATTTGTCCAAAACAGGTGCTGGCTCAGCATGGGATCTGATGAAAACACTAGTTGGTCTGGATGGATCTGAGCTGAGGACTATTTACCCAAGACCCTGGAGTATTTGGAAAGAACGTGTTAATTATAAACAGCAGGGACCAAGCACAATCTGTTCTGCTCTTAATGATGTTATCTTAACGCTGAAATTGCCTGAAACCCATTTTACTAAGGAGTGTATTTTGTGCTATGATGAAGGTCTCCCCCTGTGCTTTGAACATGGCAGCAGCCTTGTTTGTATGCCCAGTCCTTTCACTTCCTCTCCATGGGAACCTTTTGCATTTGTCTGCCAAAACAGCTCGGTCCTAAGGCCACCTTTTAAGAAATTGGAATAGAAAATACAATAAACTTAAAAACCAAGCTGCTTATCTTTCATTCCTAGATCCTGTCTAGTTATTTGTAGATTCACTATTAGAACAGATTTGTAAATACCATCTATTTTTTCACTAACCACCCAGTTCTTGCTGTTGCTTGTTGCAATTACATTCAGATAAGAGTGCACTTTGGCAAATTGCTCCCTTCTCTAAAGATACACTGTCATGTATTGGAAAGAATAATAAGCTTATCTAGCCTGGAGAAGAGGGGTAGGAACTCCGGGGCAGCTTCCAGAGTTTTGCTGCACAGGGATCTTTTCTCTGTGGTAAACACATACATCATGAGAAGGAAAACATATCACAATTACCATTATTCAAATTGTGGGTTGTTCTATAGCTTTTGACACAGTGGTGGCTATCTGTTGGGCCTGGTGGAGGGCAGGGCAGCTACTAGCAGGTGGAGCTAGGAGTAGGTGGAACCAGAGCTTACAACAGGCGGAGTTCGGGGCAGGGAGGAGCAGACAACAATGCTAAGGAGTGAGAAGAGGAAGGAAAAAAGAGCTGGGAAGATGCAGAAATAAGAGGGGTTAAGGAGTGGAGAGCAATTTTTCTACACTGCAGGAATGGAAGTACTCTTCTCCTAACACAGAAACCAAACAATATTGCCATGGTTCCCTTCCCCTGCTTTAAAACAAAGCAACACAACCCACCTTCACTTTCCCACCCTTTTTCTATGGACGATTGCATGAGTAAAGCTGTTGCTTTCTTTCTAGAAGGGGAGCAAGCTAAAGGGGTGGACCAAGCCACAGCAATGAAGGCTCCAAGCATGGAGAAAGGTGGAGAATGGGTGGTTATAACATGGGAGACAGAGTGGACTCAAGTGCTCAAGGGAAAGGAGGAAGGGCTTAGGGCAGCTGGCAGGGGGCAGACCACTGTTGGTGGCTCATTGTCAGTTTTAAACCAGTCACTCCTGATTTGAAGCTTGAAGTGACTTCTGTCAAATGCCTTTTCTGCTAGTTGTCAGTTGAGGGGCGGCAAGAATGCCTTGCAAGCTCTGTTTTTTTGTTTTGACACTGGAGTGAAAAGTCTATTTCTCTTTAGAGCTGGATATTTTTTCTGCCTCTTTCAAACTTACTTTACTCTTGAAATCTTTATCTAGGGAACGCTCTGTCTGGGAAAGCCCTGCCTTCTGGTTTTTTTGTGACACAATATGGACTATAGAAGTGTGGAGTTTGGGGCAAATGGCTCAGTTGGATGGAGACGTTGTGCCTGACTTCCTTGAGAGGAGAATGTGACTTTGGAGACTATCCTTTGTGCCCAATATTTACTTAAGAAGGTCAGGGGCGTAAGGAAATGTCATTTAAAAGGCACTGTCCGTGCAGAGATAGCCCCTCATAAAACACACAGAATCCTGAAGTAATTTCAGTGGTGCTAGAAGCAGGTACCAAAGTCTTCTTAATTGGTCATCTTGAGAAATCTTCTAAAGCTACCAAGACCAATGTCTTGTGTTTGGCTCAGTTCCCTTGAGATCTGTTGTCAGTGACACCAGCATCCACAAAGAGCCACCAGTGCCTCCAGTTCCATTGTATAAGCAGAATAGCAAATACGCACAGAGAACCAGTGCTGAGGATCCCTGCACCTCCAATACAGCTGAAAAGAAATCCATGGACTTGCCAATTATTCTAGAAGTGAGTCTCCTGGTCTTAGAGAAATTTCAAGAAGCCATAGTGATGCCCCAAGCTCCATATTACTTGAGTAGATTGAGGAAAGGGTTGCTTCAATCACAGAAGGTGAGCTGTACACACCTCTGTCACCCAAACTAGCAGGAGGGATGAGTTTGCCTTGCCTGCATTGATGATTCCATGTGAAAAAGTTTTGCCAGAGTAAATACTGGATTCATTCCACTCTGGTAGAATCTAGAATAAGTTCTGCAATCAATAGGCAGGCAAAGGTTGTCATAGGCAATAAATATCACTTTATGGGTTCTGTGGGCACTAGCGCAGCCAAGGATTTATACCACTAAGCCCTTACCATGCCAAAAGACCTGCAACATTTAAAATAAGTGTCTGAAGCCTCCCCCTTTTGCTTAGTGGACTTCTATAATGTCTGATTGAGAACTTGCAGGGCAAGGTGCTGAAGCTACACACGTGTGTGCAGTATCTACCTTGCATAAATACATTCTCTTTTGGCTGTACTGTAGAAATGGAAAAAGCTCTCTCCAGCCATCAGCGGTTTTTGTCACATCAGAAACCTCTTTCACACCAGCTGCATGCTTCAGGCTGCAGAACTGTTGCCTTTATAGAAACAGAGAGCTATGAATTATTGGATGATGGAGCATTTGCCACACCGCTGAGCTTAATTCTATAACAAAATGATCCTCATCAGTCTGGTGCTGATGTCAAGTGACTTGCAATTTTCAGCTAACACTGCATTGCATTTAATCTTGGATTCATGCTAAAGTGAGGTTGTCCTCACTTTATGGTTTTATTTAATGCGTTGTAGGATTGAGAATCACTTTATATCTGATTTGAAATCAAATTCAATATCTGTGACTGGTACAGAAAGTTGCGAGGGGAGTAAACGACACACAAGGAACACCAGTTGAAGTTGACACCTGCTCCTCCTGTATTATGAAGACTGAAAAATATTTTATTATTTTTACACTGTAGCATATAATAGAAATCTAAGATAGTGGAATAAAAAAGAAACATACAAAATAAAACAGTTAAAAAGACATTGATTTTCCAAGCCTATCTTCCCTACACTTATTTCCCCGGACCTCCTCGTACCTCCCTTTTTTGTATTCCAGTTCAGTTTGTTAGTTCAGCAAATCCTTACCATTAAACTTTTACCCAATTGTAAACCTTTTTTCATATCTCTTAAAGCATTACAGCTAAAAACCTCTTAGTTTCTATCCAACATCCTTCTAAGATTCCTTAATTTTACAATATTTCTGTAAATAGTCTTTAAATTTCTTCCAGTCTTCTTTCACCGACTCTTCTCCCTGGTCTCGGATTCTGCCAGTCATTTCCGCCAATTCCATGTAGTCAATCACCTTCATCTGCCATTCTTCCAGAGTGGGTAGATCTTGTGTCTTCCAATACTTTGCGATGAGTATTCTTGCTGCTGTTGTAGCTTCCATAAAAAAGGTTCTGTCCTTCTTTACTTTTTTGTTATATTTTAAAAACTTTACTCTTTTTTCTGTATTCTGTCTTTTTTGTATTTTTTGAAACTTTAATAAATATCATTAAAAAAAAAAAAGAAATCTAAGATAGTGGAATTGTTTAATGGTGTTTTCCCCCAGCATAGGCTACTGTAGGGTTTAGGCATGACATGTCCAGCAACCTGTGAAAACGGATTATTTTATTATTCTTTCTTTATTTCCGTTTATATACCTCTTTACTATCTAAAGGTCTGACTGGTTTACATGCACAGTAAACCATTATTGACCAACAAAGGACTCAGCTACATTAGTAAAGAAAAATCATTTTATATGCATTATAACATTGCAACACCAGATGGCAGTGTGGAGTCCCGTCTTCAACCTATGAAGGTCACATCACGTTTTCCTGAAACACTTCTCTGATGTGTCTACGTCCAGCCAAAGTATACTTGAAAGCCCACGGTGCACAAGATAAGTTTCAGGAATTTTGCTCGTGGATCTTGGGAATTCAGTGCAGCTAACCCGATAGCAACCAGAGGGCCTGTAATATTTCTGCACAGACCTGCTGTGACATCAGAGCACATGAGCCAATGGTATCAGCAGTCAAGTAGTCAGATATCAAGGAGATGACTGCTAGAGTGAACAGGTCACAAGACAGGGAGAAGTTCTTATAAAACGCAATATACCAACCTGCATGGGGGGATGATGCTGCCCACCTCACCTTGTTAAGACACATTACTGCTTCTTACCTTGGGGAGGGCCTTGGGGTGTTCCCAGGCACACACTAATGTTTCAAAATACCAGGGATTGTGGCAAGGAGGAGAGAGTAGGCAGCAGCAGCCGGCTCCCTCGGCTGCCTCAACCTGTGGGGAAGTGACCTTGAGAAGAGAGAGGAAGGGAGAAGGAGGGAAACAGACAGAGGCAGAAGAAAAAGGCTGGAATGTTTCTGCAACTTCTGCCTATATCTGCCTCTATCAGTGGTGTTGCAGTGTTTGGCTTCAGCGGCAGCAGTAAGGTCAGGTGAGTAAAGCTGGCCCTCCCCTACTGTGTGTGTTGCATGATGTTGTGTGAGAATCAAAAATAAAAATAGCTACTATATATTGCATTTTTACAAAGTGCCTAATGCGCTATATAATGTGATTATCTATGTTGGACGTAATTCAGCAAGCATTGTCAGTTCTAATCACGCTTGCTTAGAAGAAGGCCCACTGAATTCAACTGGGCTTGCTCCCTTGTTAAATTGTTTTAGCAAACATATTGAATTATTTTCCCATTGGGCCTGTGTTATCTTCTTTATCCTGCTGCATTTTTTAAAATCACGGCTTCTGTTTGCAGAGTGGATGTACAGTTTTCTGAATGTGATTTAGCAGCCTTTTATACGTCCTCGTCGTTCCTTTCGCACAAAAGTCATTGCACAGTTTTATTAACAGAACTATAACCCCATATAAGGCTAAAGTCAGCCAAACAATGTGGTGCTCAACATCCTGAAGATATTGTTTAATGGTCTTGGCTATCATGGTTGCAGAGAAAAGATTAGACAATATGTGCATGCTGTTCTGCTTCTTGGTGAAAAGTAAATGAATCCAGATTTTTCAAAACCTGAATTGAAGAGAGTTAAACACGCAAACCTTTGGAAACATACATAAATATACTTAAGCCATTTATGCTCAATTGACAGTTATAGTAAGTTTGACAAGGTCACTGAAAAAAATATACTCAAAATCTTGAGAGGTTTCCTCCTGAGAGTGCCAAATTCTCCAGTATGCCTCTTACTACATCCTAAAAAATCCTGTCTGATTCACTGTTAAAGACAGGGGCCAGCCTCAAATTCATTGTTGCTCATAGCCATTGTCCTCTT